TAAAACCATCATCCTCAGATTTCTTTCCGTCTTGAGGTGTAGCTGAACAACAAGCCCTGTTCGAGGATTTCATGAAGACAGGGGGCGATTGGAAGAAAGGGATGATTTGGAAGAGTGTGGTGAACAAACACCGTGGGGGTTCCACAGGGGTACGCAAATGGCTAACCCGTGATCAAATAGTCAAGCACTTTGACAGTGAAGAAATAGCTGATGCAATGATCACTCGCAAGCGTTCAAAAGAGGAACTACATGCAGAGATCAGGGAGCACCCTGAATTGCCAGGCACTCATATATAAATATATATGTATTATTTATAATTGTTTTTTTGTTTTTGTTCTCAGGTTTTGTTCCACTAGTACTCACTCTGTCTGACCCTCTCTTCTCAACTGTTCGCTGTCTCTGAACAGGCCTTGAGCAGTTCCTTATCCTTGTCGAGGACTCTGAGGTGCAGGAGGAAGAACAGGAAATAACTGACATGTTTAGGATGCAAGAGCGTGATCAATCGCCTGCTGACAGCAGCAGTCCAAGTGAAGCTGAAGAAACACCGAAGAAAAAAGCACCGAAGTCAAAGAAGAAAGGAAAGAAGAACAAAAAGAAGTCAAAGAACAAGAAGGCTAAGAAAGGTTCAAAGGAAAAGGAAGAAGACGAAGATCCTGAGAAAGAAAAGAATAAGGAAACTATCCGAAGTGCTCAGAAGGCAAACTCCAAACAACATTCAGCAACTATATCAAAACAACTATATTTATATTATAATTCGTGTATATATTCAAATCATGCCCAATTATTCCTTTGACCTGTGCAGGCAGCTTCCAATTTGACCAAGAAGATCAAAGTCTGCAACACACGCAGAGACACTACCAGTGGATGGTTTGGGGCCCAGCCAAGTATCTCCATGAATCTTATCAATTGCAATCTAGTTGAAGCCTTCCCCATGAGGTCTGCCAACAGCCGGGAGATCCAGAAGGATCTTGACAAGACTGTCCAGGCCTTGTCGGATGCCCGTGGCAAGCTTCAGACGGCCTTGGAAGCCGGGAGCAAGGACCACAGCGCATGCAGTTCAAGATTTCCAAGTCTTGATCCTTCTCATTCATGGCATCACCATTATAATGTTTATATGTAACCCTAATTACAATTCTAATTTTTGAATAAATCATCTAAAGTTTCATGACCAGGACTATGGCCTTTTGGCTGACCTTTCTGATCGTGCTGCAGCTATTTTGGAGAAAGCTGATGACACCATGGCACCGCTGACTGGCAAGAAAAGGAAAGCCACAGCTGGCGGTGATTGAGTCATACGGATGTGATCACCCCAATAACTATTAATTATATAATTATCCATTTGAGTTTTCAATCGTCATCACTATTTACCATGTTGTGCAGAATCAAGAAATCCGTGCGAGGGGTGGTCATGGCGTACGTGACTATCATGGTCCCAGGCTGAAGGCTTCACACCTCTTAGAACCAGACAGTGCGCTCACATCATCATTGCCTGGCCGAGATGTGGAGTTTCTTTGAAATCAGGGGTGGCAAGAAAACGCTGCCACTACCACAATCTTGAATCTTGAAATCGTTTGCAGCTGTGTGCAAGCGGAGGGGAGCCGACTTGCATTGAGACATCGCTGGCAAAACTGTGAAAAAAACTCAATGTCAAATATGCACTTGTGATCCAGCTCTAGATGTGCAACTTTCACATAGCGTCACTGCATGATTTTCAGCCCCAACGCAGGTCCAACAGATGATAGAGATGCCGACCGCCAACATCAAGTGTCCAATGTTTTGGATTCAGTTGCTGGTGGGGTTTGGGTCCCAATTTTTGAAGTTGTCAAAACAACCCATATCTCAAACAGTGTGCCCATGTGTGCTCGGTGTGCCCAGGCCTCCATCGCTGAGAAGATGCGTGAGTTCAAATCCTGCGTCAAGGTGGGATCTTGGTAGCCTGTGGCTCTATCCGGAATAAATTAATACCAGATTAGATATAAAAAATATTAGAAATATAATTCTATACTTGTAGAAATTTATGTCATGATCCCTAGATTCGCTAGGTCTATATTCTTCTGTATTATAATTGCAAAACCAATCTCCGGGCTCACTGCCTGCAGGATACACCAACTGGATTGCCACAGACCGTGAACAAGCTGGGAAGCTTCAGTGGATTCAATCAGCAACGAGACTTCCGTCGTACACTGCGATGTTCAGTGGACAGTACGGCATGGCAACATATTAGATCTAGCAAGTGTCAAAAATATTTCAATGTTTCAACAAGGATTCGAATTTATAAAGCTCTTGAGATCCCTGGAGGAGCCTATCATGGTCCCGACCACCGTGAAGGAGAAATTGTCTGGTGATGATTTTACAAGAACCCAAATGGAGATTCCACTGTTCTTACCGGAAGACATACTGGAGTATTTAGTCGGAACTTTGGGTTTGGAAATCGAGCAACAAGCAGTGGAAAAATATTGGTTGCATGCTCGAACCTTTGATTGCCCTTGGAAAAATGTATCTCTTGATTCAAGTCACTGGCTTTTAGGCCTCTACGGTGATGCTGCGAAATATTCCCCAGCTGGTCAAAAAAATTTGGCCTACTTTCTCAACATCGTTTTATGGGCGCCCAAGTCTTCCAGGATGAGCAGGTGGTTATTATTTTCAATGGAAATGGACCATTGCTTAGGACCTGAAAGCCTGAATCCCCTCTTCAATCGAATTGTGAAATCCCTTCGCTCTTGTTACAACGGCTTGACCATCAAGGGGCAGACTTACAGATTTGCGGTTTCAGAACTACGGGGTGACTGGGAATGGCATGTCTACGCGTTTGATCTTCAGAGAAATTGGCGAATGCATACATTTTGCTGGAGATGTGATGTCTCTAGAAAACCAGGGGCTCCTTGCAGTATGCTGGACTTAGAGGATGAACCAGATTGGGCTGAAACTCAACTTTCCAGTATTCAATTCTTATCCCGGATGATCTCCCCATCTACAGCCAGCAGCTTGTCCTCCAATTGGACTGATCATGATGTAGTTGGAGCTGATGTGCACCTCAGCGAAAGGGATTGGTTTTAGTGGATCAATCAATCACTTCCCAGGTCCTTTACTTCTGTTGCCTAACTTCCACCATGGGCTTCTTCGACACTGTAGCCTACACAATTTGAATCTTGGATTGGCAGCAACAGCCAATGGGTCATCGTTGCTCCTTGGTCAAACCCATTTTATTGACTTGAAAGGTGTATGTTTTAAGCGATCGATAATTTATTCCAAAGTTGTAGCCAAGGCTTCTTCTCGCCGATTTGAATTTCTTCGGGGATGCAAATGCGTTGACAATGAATCAACTGCTGGCAGTGGCCTACAGGGATTTTAAAATATGGTGCAAAGAAAAGCGGGTGAAGTGTAGCCAACCCTTGTTCCGAGAATCCCTTGATTTTTGGAAAATGATTTTAGTTAATTTTTGTGTTTTGGACCCCCATGGGAAAACATGTCAAATATATTCAACTGTACTATATAATCATTTCGGTTGATTTGGATTTATCACCATTAATGATATTGGGAAATTATTGGGGATTCTTGTTGGGGTTAGCCCCATTTATTTGGTCAACTGCCCAGGTATGGAACACTATGTCAGGTGCATATATGTCCTGCAAAGGACACAACGCGCGATGTGTGTGCGCGTGGCTCTCGTCCTGTTTGAATATCAGTTTGCAAAGAAGGGTCCCTCCTAGGCGTCTTGTGGGTTCATGGCTGGAAACTGAAGTGGCCCTGAACCACATGGAGTGGCCAGAGCATGATATGTTGGCACCATCAGCTGTATGTATGAACCTTGATTGGATTAATATAACTTTTTGGTGACAAGTTTATAAACTTGCTGGTTTATATCCCTGTGCCCATTGGTGCCCTCACCGGATTCTGAGGGATGCACTCAATCGGCTTTTCTGTGGCATGGAGCGATCTGGGAGGTACCTGTGGCATGGCTCTGATGTGACCAAAATTGGTACCAGTACTGTGCGATCTCATGAGTTCACATTGCGAATCTAGTTGTTTATTTTAAGGTCCCGGGAAGCTGCTGAAGATATTTATCACCATGGGACCATGGGATGCGATTCTTGCGGGTGCACAAACTTCTGACATCTTTGGCCCAGAGGTGGGGCTGTAGAAATTCTGCTGATTATATCGATTTAGAAATACCCTTGTACTGATTTTGCAGGCACAATTTAGTCTTCTGGTTGGCCAAGCCCAAAATCCATGTGCAGGACTCAATCAACCAATGGCAAAATCAAACATATAAGTTGGTTATCTTATTATATGGCTATTCATGTCGTTCCTAGGCTGTTGCGCACCAGCTGCGTGACATGAGGGCACGCCGTGTCTTGATCACATTGGTTCTGAATCATTCTTATAGGAATTTGTTGGTGATGCATGGTGATGCTATTTTTTCACTGGAATTTATCTGCGACTTGATTTTGCAGCTAAGGGTACAACATTCGTTATGAACACACGTTCATAGACGAGGACCAAATGAAGTGGTGCAAACGCTCTTGGGCTAAATTAAGATCAGAAATCTTTTCCCATATCGACTTGGTGATAATCCCTAGCCCCCTGACTGTAAATCTGAGGATTATGTCAGCTGAGTGATCGAAGGAATTTGGCCATGAGCATTTCAAAGAAAGCTCCAATTCGTCTCCTAGCCATGAAATGTCATATGCCTAAACTCAACAGACTGAACAAGAGAAGAGCCATGCGGTAAAAACCGGGTTGGCGCACTTCCTGATCGATCTTCTTCTTGATCAGCTCGCTGCCGCTGCTGATGTTGGGGTGGTTGTGATGATGGGGAGTTTTTCAATGGTGTTAAGTAAAGACATGGGGTTAGGGTAACCACAACGTTTAACTTTGGGGTTGGAAGGTTAGGGTAATGTATATATATATATATAATGTATATATATATATAATGTATATATATATCCCTATGAAAATGGAGATTTGATGACCTTCCCCCGATGTTTTTTTCGAGGCGCTCCCGGCAGCTGTTGCCACCTCCCAGCTTGGCACTGGTCACAGCTGGCCGTACCCACCTCCGGCGCCAAGCGCCCGGGGGGACAGATCTCACAGGCCTGGGCGGCAGGGTTCCTGACCGGGCAAGCTGGGGCAAGCTGGATTTCACCATGGTATCACCATGGTATCACTATACCCCCACTTTAGTGGTTTCGCTATGTAAACACAACATGAACCGGAAACACAACATGATATCCACCTTAAGTATTTACATCAGGTTCTGGTGGGAATGATAGGGAGATCGAAGGGGACATCACATCCACTCGAAATGATCCCTCAGTTGAGGGATCTGAAATTACTAGGTCCACCAGTATACCCTCGGATGATCTAACATGGCAATGATTCTTGACATATTTTGACTTATGACTCATTATGACTCATGATTCCTGATGTTTTCGTATGGCTTTTATATCTTTTTTTTATGACTTCTCATAGATGTCATAGATATTCATAGATGACTTGAAGATCAAGATTATGGATTTCCCATTGCCAGGAGAGGCTACTCCTCAACACAATTCCCATGGCCAATGGCTGGGCCTCTTCCGAGCTAGATCCCCTGGAACCGGCGGACCTGAGGAAGCATCCTTCACCGTCCCTTTATTTTGGGGCTTCATGATGAAGTTTACAAAGTTTACACAGTCAAACTGAGCCTCATCTGAATATGAAAAGACAAACAATAGGTTGATTAACAACGCTGGTTTATGGCATTGCCTTTCCCTAATTAATGTAAATTCATCATTCTAGGACGTTTTTGACAAGAATGAGAGAACCAGTTGTAGACGAGAAATCCAAGTCAGCTCCAGTCTCATAAATATCATGGCACAGCTCTCATAGAGAAGTTTAAACAGAACCCCTTGAAGATCAAAACGTTAATTAAAGCATTCGAACCTCCAGATATCCTTTGTTGACCAGTCTGCGTCAAAAATTATCGATCCCAGAAATGGATGGTTAAATGCTAAAACAACCATGTTTTGTGTGTGTGTGTCTCTGTGTGTGTGTGTGTCCTCAACCTATCTGAAAAATTACCCTCCAATAATCAAACACGGCCCCATTGATAGAAGATGTTCCCAGCTATAAACTATACTGGTTGGTGGTTTTAACCATCTTGAAAAATATTAGTCAATGGGAAGGATTATCCCATATATTATGGAAAATAAAATTCATGTTCCAAACCACCAACCAGCTATAAACCCCATTTACTTCGAGGATTCTCCAGCTAGCTAGCCATGCTTGATTTTCCACCAGGTTGGGCCTGCCACTGGGACATGCCTCGCACACTGTCGCACCCTCGGTAGACCTGGACAAAAACATCCCACGTACAAGGTGAGGGCCCCCATGGCAACGAAACCGCTAAGTTGAGACACAGTTCACTTGGTTAACCTTTGGGTTTATAGAGGATAACTATTTCAATGGGAATTTCAGGATCCTAAAATGGAGGTACTGTACCATATAAGTCCATATTTTCAGGGGATATTCCCTTATATACATAGGCCTTACATAGGCCTTATATATGGTAGGTACCTCCAATTTAGGATCCTGAAATGGCCAGTGACTATACTTAATAGGGTCTACGAACCAAGTATGGCTGGGGGGCGGACATCTTGTAGTCTTCTCAGCTCTTACAAAAAAAACAGGAAGAATTCTCCAGCCAGCCAGTGGCAACCTCTTGGCTCTTCTTTGGATACGAAGACAGTTGACTGAACAAGGCTATTTTAAGCAGGGTTAAATTCATGATAAATTGATGCTGAACCAATCGGATGTTGCCGATTTTCACACAGGCCCATTTTCTCTTCACCACCATTTACACCCTATGAGTCCAAGTACCTTCTTAGGAAGCGGGACTGGGGTATAATTATAATTTGGAGGCTTTTTTGTACCTTCTCAGACAGTGGCCATGGATCCATAGGGACAATGAATGTCCATGTTTTTCGTTGGTTAACATCTCCATGTGGATTGGCTAAAAGCGAAAAAACTTCTTGTTCGATCCCATAATTTCCCAAAATATCATACCAAATGTCCATGTACCAGGTACCATTGGCTACACCTCATTAATAACCATCATTTACCATGAAATATGTCCATGTGTTTTGGTTTAAACCCAAGATTTGTTGCTTGATATCGTAACTTTGCCGAAATCCCAAGGTTGACTCGTAACATTTGCCGATATCCAATATTCTCCCGAAATAGTGTCCCAAAACATGATCCCATCTATTGGCTTTACCTCATTAAAAACTATAAGTTGTCAAAGTTATCCCAGGTTTAAATCCCAGTTGCTGGTTAGGTCACTCTTCATCACCATATTATCCCCATAAATCTCCATTAAATCTCCATTACCCTCTGGTAATATGGCCAGTTATAGTGGATTTTCCCATTAATAGCATGGTGATTTTCCATAGTTATGTAAACGTTTACCAGAGGGTAAATCCCCATGAAATCCCCATGAAATCCCACGAAATCTCGCCATCTCCACGCCACGTATAGCGCCCCGCCGCGCACTCCTCGCAGGCGCTGGCCCCCACGAGATTGGCCGCGCGGCCGGCGGCGCAGCGGCTACAGGCAGCGGCCCCAGAAAGGCTGAAGTTGCCACGACCACAGAGGAGGCACCACTCCTGGGCCCGGAGATTTCTCATGGATTGCCATCTGGTTATGACTAACATAGCCATGGAAAATCACCATTTGTGATAGGTAAACCATCTATTTCAATGGGTCCCATCAGATCCCCTTGAAAACCCTTGAAATGATTGGTTTTTACGACAAATCACTACCCTCTGGTAAACATACAAAAAGCTATTGAAAATGGTGATTGAAATAGTGGATTTACCCATTGAAAATGGTGTTTTTCTATAGTTATGTTAGTTTACCAGAGGGTACTTTCTTGGTGGCCAACCACTAAATTCACTAAATCACTGGTGTCACCAACAAACTGGTGCTACTATTTATGAAATAACTCATCCTCATTAACCAATACCAATCAACTCACCGACTAATCACGAGGAACTTGATCAGCAGTAATGATGAATCAAACGTGTTGACTAGAATTATTCACCACCATTAACCATTTTTAGGTTTAATCACCATGGCTACTAGCCATGATGAAACTAGCAACCAGCACTTCCTGCCACCTCCCGTCATTTCTCCTTGGTGGTGGCCCCACGTTGACTGCTGGCCGTTCCGGCCGCGCACTGCTCGCAGCGCGTCTGCCGCACAAAGCCGGACCAGCCACCTTGGGGGTGATTTTGAGCAATGGAGGGGAGATGAGCCAACAAAAATAGTGATTTTCCCATATTTTCCCATAGTATTTTAAATTTTAAATGGGGAAAATATGGGAAAATATGAAAAAATAGGGGTAATTTATGATGCTTCACCCATGGATAGAAAGAGGGAACAATCCCCTAAATTTGATGAGACACAAATCGAGAGGTGGTTTGCTCAGTGGTTTGTTTGCCCACGTCTTACGCAATTTTAACTGCAAACATTGGGATGTAAGATGATGTAAGCAACATTTTTTTGTTTTGACAAGTGCTAAGCAACAAAAAAAGTTTAAGAAACAACAAATATGTTGGTTTTTACCCGACAAAAAATGGGACATGAACCGACCGAAAGATTGTGATTATATGGTTGTGGTATGTTGTGGGTAAAAGCCCTAAACCCCTGCGCATTGCACATTCCCAAAAACGTGTTGCCAGAAAATGTTTCGTCGGTATGAAATTCTGCTTGCTTCAAATATACTAAACAAACTGTAGATCTCTATCATTGGCAATCCTGGATGATAAACCATCACCATTGCGAAACGATATCCTTTGTTTGGGGATATTAAAATATATTAAACTTGTTTTTTTCACCCTGGATTAAGTCTTCCTCCAACGTCGAAAACTGTCCTTTCAGAAGACCCCCACTGCAAGGGCCCGCGCCTGGTTCGCATTCCTCGCATTGACTGCTGTTCTCCAAAGAGAAACGCCCTGGAATGCAATCCTGGCAGGCCTCTGCTGTGCAGGGCTGATCCAGTCAAAGTTTTGTAAAATCTGCGGTAAGATCCCTAATTCTCATCTTCATTCGCCATATCTCTTCTTCGATTGTAGTACTTACATCACCATTCTTGGTGGTTACCCTCTGGTAAACTAACATAACTATGGAAAATCACCATGTTCAATGGGTAAATCCACTATAAATCATCATTTTCAATAGCTATGTTAGTTTACCAGAGGGTAATTCACCAATTTTCTGTGGCTACATCACCCTGTTTGCCAATCCCGATTTTGCCCACCTCAGGTGCCCCTTTTATGGCATTCGGAAAGCGATACCCGGGTCTCTGTCCATGAAAAATGGGCTTGTTCTCTGGGGACATCAACCCCCATTACCAGCAGAAGTGGGGGCAAATTGCAGTGAAACTTGGATGATGCGATACTAACTGGGGTTTACCAGTTAAAACCCTATGTACCCTCTGGTACTCACACATGGCTTGCTGGAAAATCCACCATGTGTTCGGTGATTTTCCATGAAAACCCCAATTTCCGTAGATTTTAGATTGCCATGTTTGACTACCAGGTACCCTTCAGTACACTAACATAGCTATATCTATATAAAATCCACCATGTGTACCCTCTGGTAATTTAACATAGCTATGGAAAATGGTCCATAGATGATTTCCCTCCATATTTACGAAAAAAATGTTATTTCTTCAGTTCGCTATGTTAAATCACCAGAGGCTAGATCTTGTGAATATCCCCCAAATCACCATTTGGGCTGGTGAAATCACATTTGCTTAAATTCCATCCATTATACCCCAATTATATCCACATTACTCTCTGGTAATTTAACATAGCTATTGAAAATGGCCATTTATAGTGGATTTCCCATTGAAAATGGTGATTTTCCATAGTTATGTTAGTTTACCAGAGGGTACACCAGCCATTTTGCCAGGCTTGTTGGGAGTCGACTGCGCCTCGCCGTTACTGGCACCAGGCTGGCTGCTAAAACGCCCAGCAGCACAGGAGATGCAGCTGCTGCTCAGGGCCTCCTGAGGTGCCCCTTTTTTAATAGGCTGTATGCTGTGACTCTATATATACCCTCTGGTAATTTAACATAGCTATGGAAAATTGCCATTTATAGTGAGTTTTCCCATTAAACATGGTGATGTTCTATAGCTACGTTAGTTTACCAGAGGGTGTATATATATATATATATATATATTAGCATAGGGTGTATTAACTATATATATATATACTTAATGGGGTTTTTATATATATATATATATACTATAGAGTTATGTTATATTCATATAATGTTGTATGTACCCGTATGTATATTAATAGAGATATTACATGATATTACTTAATGAAGGTCATAAATCAACGAACACCACTTGCCTCAGGGTATAAGTCCCACCTTGCAGCCATCCCATGGATGGATATCCCCCGATATTTCTTGCTGCATTTGCTACTGAAATGCTTCATGTTTGTTGGATAAATCTCATGTAAATGTGACTTGTTTATACCATTTTATACCTGTGTACACTGTGTTCACTGGTCAACTCTCAATATTTCTTGGCACTAGTAGGATAGTTTCTTCCCCTGGTATTGTTGATGGAAAAAACCCATTCTATTGCCATGCTACTGCCATTGCAATTAGTTCCCACATGTTCCCACTGCCATTGCTTTAAAAAAAATACTTTACTTCGTGTGATCCCCACCATGACATTTATACATTTTCTATCTGGCATATCTTCTGGCATATGATCTGGCATATCTTCTGGCATATCTTCTGGCATTCTATCTGGCAAATTTTCTGGCATTCTATCTGGCATATCTTCTGGCACTCTATCTGACATATCTTCTGGTATTCTATCTGGCATATCTTCTGGCATATATTCTGACATATCTTCTGGCATTCTATCTGACATATCTTCTGGCATATATTCTGACATATCTTCTGGCATATCTTCTGGCATATCTTCTGGCATATCTTCTGACATATCTATCTGGCAAATCTTCTAGCATATTTTCTGGCATTCTATCTGGCAAATCTTCTGGCATTCTATCTGGCATTCTATCTGGTATATCTTCTGGCATATTATCTGGCATTCTATCTGGCATATCTTCTGGCATATCTTCTGACATTCTTTCTGACATTCTTTCTAACTTTCTTCTGCACATTCTTTGTCCCATATCTTCCTACATGAGGTCCGGCAGGGAACACTTGGCGTGGATACTCGCGGTTGAGGTCCGGCAGGGAACACTGGGCGTGGATGGGCGTGGTTGAGGTCCGGCAGGGAACACTGGGCGAGGATGGTCGTGGTTGAGGTCCGGCAGGGAACATTGGGCGTGGATGGTCGTGGTTGAGGTCCGGCAGGGAACACTGGGCATGGATGGTCGTGGTTGAGGTCCGGCAGAGAACACTGTGGATCGCGGGTCGCAGTTGAGCAAGGACGACGAGGACGACGAGGACGACAAGGACGACAAGGATGACAAGGAGGACGATGAGGAGGAGGAGAGGAGGACGAGGCAGGAGGCGGAGGAGAAGGAGGAGGCAACTGACATAAAATCTAACAACCCTCACCTGGCAGGTGGGGAAAAACATGTTCTGAGAGTGAAATCCCTATATTCCAATGGTCAAAACGCGATTTTCCCCCGTGGCTTTTCCCCAGGTCCATCAGTTCCCATGGTAAACTCACCTGTGAGTAGCTTCCCGCTGAACACTCGATGCAGGACGCTGACGTCTCATCGGGAGCATGACCTCGTCAAGCGGATTCATGGGGATCATGTCATAATATCAATGGCCTATGTAATGAAAATATGGATTAATATGGTACAGTATTTCATAATATCCCCTTAATATACCATATTATAATATGGGCCATTCATATACCATATTTATCCATATTTCATAATATCCCCAGAAATCATATGCCCTTACCCATGACGGATCCGGCTGGTGCTGGTAGAAAAATGCTAACATAAAGGGGGTTCAAATTGATGGGATCCATGTTACCATATATAGCAGCACCATGGATCCGTCATGGGTTATAATATGGTACAGTACTTTCATTTTAGGAAGTACTTGACCACAATATTGATATTGGGATATCATAGGCCCTATATGGCCATATGTATTTTAATGTGTTATGGGATGATCATGTATTGGAATATCCCCACAATTCATATGGCCCAAAAGATTGTACTTCATCGTACTTCCATTGATCCTGAAATTCCCATTGATCATACTTTGGGATACTTTGGGTATAACTATGAGGATTAACTATTTGAGGATACATAATGAGGATTGTCCATCATTATATTAATTAATCCTCTATTAATGAATGGGGATAATATTAATGGGGTTAACTATGTGGATCCTTTATATATTCAGAATTTTATGAATGGATGGATCCCCTAATGATGGGATATTGCTGAGAAGGATTGTCCGATTGTCCTGGTCTGATTTACCAACCCACTGAGATAACCCTGGATGAGGTGTATAGACCCTATGAATTGGGGGGGTTAGCCCAAAAGAGTTTTGGAAGTTACTACTAAAATTGGTACCTCCCCGATAGAAGTAAACTGAGGGTCTGGCAAAATCCTGGGTTAACATCCCACTATGCTGGCTAGTTAATCGGGATTCCTGGTTCGGGGGTTATGATAATTCTCAGTTAATAAAGGTGGTAATGAGGGTAATAACCTGCGAACCAAACATCAACCAACAGGGGTGTCTTGCAGCCACTGCTCACATCACGTTTTGCATCAGATCCCATTAAATCCCATGACATCCCCAGCATGCCCATTGTATAAATCCCAGTAGATCACTATCAAATGGTTGGTTTCCTACCGATCATGGCACCATTCTGCGAAAATGTCCCCACGATTTCCCACGTGACGGGTCATGGCGAAAAACCGGAACGTCTCGCCGAGCGACGCCCCGGCGGGCAATCTTCACAGCTGCGAGCACCGGCTCGGCTGGCCCGTCCTCCGAAAAGAGGTTCCCATGATGTGATGGCCATGACTTGGGTATACCACAATTCTGGATGGCCACACCCAATACCCATGACGGATCCCTGGTGCTGGTATATATGCTAACATGACTGGGGTATATTAATGGGATCCATGTTACCATATATGGCAGCACCATGGATCCGTCATGGGATATGGGTTCCTAATGAAATTGAATTAATCGAATACCAAACCAGGCTTTCGTGAGGGCGAAAATTTCATAGTTTATGGGGAAACGGATGAAAAAAACATCGTTTACCCAGAATGGTTGGGACGGGAATAGTTGACCCCTCTTCCCAAAAAAATTAACCAGTAGGAAAAGGACATCTAAAGAGAGGATGGGTCAGCTATCACAAGGATATGATAGTTTATTTTCAAGTGAGTTTAGTCACTGTTTCAAAACCAAAAAAAACTGAAAAGCACAAGATTCAAGGCAAATTCAAGCGTTTTTGTTGCCATTCAACCAGTGCGGATGCTTGTTTGTGTGTCCCGAAACCCGTTCTCCATTGGGTGTTCTTTTTGAACTCGCTGGAGCTGAAGAGTTGAAGTGAAAGGACTCTAGTTGGAAGCTGGCCAAACTCTGAAGCAGAAGCTCGGAGAAGTAGAAAATCATAGAAATGCTTTAAAAACTGGAAGAGTACAACACTGGGAACCTAGAAAATCATGGAAAATTATAGAAAATCAAAGAAAACCATAGAAAACCATAGAAAACCACAGAAAACCACAGAAAATCATAGAAAATCATAGAAAATCATAGAAAACCATAGAAAATCATAGAAAATCATAGAAAATCATAGAAAATCATACAAAACCATAGAAAATCATAGAAACTCAAAGAAATAGAAAATCATAGAAAATCATAGAAAATCATAGACAATCATAGAAAACCATAGAAAATCATAGAAACTCAAAGAAATAGAAAATCATAGAAAATCATAGAAAACCATAGAAAATCATAGAAAATCATAGAAAATCATAGAAAATCATAGAAAATCATAGAAAACCAAAGAAAATCATAGAAAATCAAAGAAAATCATAGAAAATCAAAGAAAATCATAGAAAATCAAAGAAATAGAAAATCATAGAAAATCATAGAAAATCATAGAAAACCATAGAAAATCATAGAAAATCATAGAAAATCATAGAAAATCATAGAAAACCAAAGAAAATCATAGAAAATCAAAGAAATAGAAAATCATAGAAAATCATAGAAAATCATACAAAACCATAGAAAATCATAGAAAATCATAGAAAATCATAGAAAACCATAGAAAATCATAGAAAATCAAAGAAATAGAAAATCATAGAAAATCATAGAAAACCATAGAAAATCATAGAAAATCAAAGAAAATCATAGAAAATCATAGTACTGTCTTTTGGCCAAAAGAACCAACAGAAACTCGGAATCAAAGCGGTCCCAAAAAGTTGATCAAAAAGGGAAGCCTGTTGTTGCTGAAATTTCCAAATGTTTGACCAAACTCAACATGAAAATATGGTCATTAATATGGTCAACATTGATATGGGGATGGGTCAAAACCCTGGTACCTAGTGAACCCCAAAATAGCTGGTAAATGGATGTTCATCCCACTAAAAATGTATCTATAGGTATTGACCCATACCCATATGGTTTAACATGGTTTAACATTGTTTAACATCAAGATTGATTGTTGGATGTTGATGTTTTACAAGTTCGATTCATTCTCTTGTTTCGTCAAACCATATTGTCGACTTCACTAATAATCGATGGATCACTTTCGACTTTCAACTAGCAGACCGGGTCCCTCCCCCCAAAGTCCTAAACCCAGGGTCAACATTCATGTCATTCCATTTATACTGGTTTGTTAATAGGGGTTCCCGTAATTCTTTGTGATAATCCCCGGCATATTGGGGAGTATAACCCCCTGTAATCATCAGGTGTCTTGAGCACTGCTATATACTTCAATTTGGGATGGTGAAAAAATAATTAGGCGCAGATGTCACAAAACAAAAGCAAATGCACCATTCGAAATCCATTTGGGGTAGCATGTTCTATCTGTTCTCTTGAAACCATCGGAGTTATACCGATGATCTATTTGGGACCATACAATGGGAGTGTTTTATATGAACGGGGGATGGGATTGCACCCATTTCGGAATCATCCCATAGTAAATGTTCAATATTGATCTCAAACGTTATTGATATGAAGTGTTAAAGCATTTAAATCATTTTAAGTGTCTGTACAGTCACGTAATCCCGTCAATATTCCACAAATATCCCATCAATGCCCCATTCAACTCATATTTTGTTTTACAAACAACAAATTCTGGTGCTATAGACAAGTGAATACACCTCATCTTTGCCCCAGCCCCAAATCTCCGCCTGTGCCGCAAGCGAGACATTGCTCTACCGCAGTGGCGCCCACCCTGGCGCACATACGCGGCCGGCGCGATGATACGGGATGTATGGATGCTATGGAGATCGAAATGATCCAAAATGTATCCATACATCTATGGATGATGATTAATCTATGGAAATCTACGGATGCTGATGAATGGGATGATTGGTGCAAGATTCCAAAATGTGTGATTTTTTCAATGTGTGGATGCCGCCCTTGTCTCAACAGCTCACCGGAAGTTGAAGGAGACACCCAAAAAGTGGACGACGCTCCAAACTCAGTGCTGTCAAGCGACGACGAAAAGAACCGGCCAGCCGTGCAGTTCGCACATTCCTCGGTGCCAGGCCGCCAGGCACATGGAAAGCTCCAGGTCATTCCAGGTCGCACTCGCCATGTTCATTTCAACAAACCTACCGGAAGCCCTTATTATCCCTCATTAATAAATATAATCATTGATTATTAATGTTCATGAACTGTTAATATATTTATTTTGATACCCCTATTCAGGTGTTTTCTGCAGATGAACAACCAAGCAAAAAAAAGCCAGAAGAACTCATCCATCAACTCCATCAACCGTCAAGATTTCACCAACCATTTGTGGATGGTATATACAAGCCATAAAAATGGTGATATTTCACGGGGATGTTCGTTTCCTACCCATAGGATCCATGGTGCTGCTATATATGCTAACATGGATCCCATCAATATACCCCAGTCATGTTAGCAACATTTGGGGTATATTAATGGTAAATGTTAGCATATATACCAGCACCATGGATCCGTCATGGGCTATTGGCTTTACCACATCAGGAAACTGTCAACATAGAGTCAAAAAGTTGATCGCAACGAGTCTTAAAAATGCCAGCGTAATATACCCGCTCTCAGCAGAAATCTGGCTGGTGGTATACCTCCCTCTGAAAAATGATGGAGTTCGTCAGTTGGGAGTATGATTCCCACATATATATATAATTATATATATATAATTATAATGTATATATATATATATTATATATGGAAAACCGTAAAATTCCATGGTTCCAAACCACCACCCTGCTGGCCCAGTCATGGCTCAAAACCTGGGGGTTTCAACGTCAACCCGTCCGTCCAAGTTCGTCATGGTAATCTGTTGAGGCTCCAGACGGAGGCACCCAGCTGGTTGTTCCAAGTTCCTAAGGCCTCAGCTTTTGGTTCGTTGGATTGGGTTAAGGGAAAATCTTAACCGGAAACCATGGTTTGTACCATCAAATATAGTGGTTTCCTGTAAATTTTCCCATCATCCAATTCTATGATTGGTTCGCTGGAGTTTTTTGGGATTTCTTTTGCGAAAAATCTCTGGTTTTTATGGCTTTTTAAGCCATGATATTTAGTGGAGTTCCCATGATAAGTGGAGTTCTATGACGCCCGAATTCATTGCATTCTGGAGTTACCCATCCAATTTCGAATCCAGGCACCCCGACGCACTGCTCACACGCATTGATGCTGCTTGCACCAATCTGCTGGTTGAAGCCTTGGCCGTGCCATCGTCCAAGATCCTTGCAGCACTTTTTTTCATGCTGGTTGGTTGAGATGGGGATTCATATGATTCATTTCCACCATTTTTCATCAATGGAATATCACCATTTACTATATGAAAACGGATATAATTTGATATAATTACATTTACTATGGGATATTCATTTTACTATGTTAGTTATCACAGTTTTTGATGAAACCCCTATATTCAGCCGTCGCATCATGAGTCTCAGCTCCGGGCGCCCTGGGTCGCATTGCTGGCAACTGGCCAGGTTGGTTGCCTCCATCTTCGACCCGGACAGGCCGGACAGGTGACGATTTTCCCATAGGAGATGGGTCCAGTCAGACTGGGTACCCGGCCTGGTAAACTGTCACATAGCGAACTGGAAAGATCCACCATGCTATTAATGGGAAAATCCACTATTTCGACTGGGCCATTTTCAATAGCTATGTAACAAATTACCAGAGGGTACCTTCCAGAAAATCAATGGGAAAAGCACCTGTTCATGTTATCTATATGCCAAAATAGTGGTGTAATGGCCCAGTTTTGCTTGATAGTTCTAGATGTGAATTGCCGTAATTACATAGACACTAACTACAACTTAACCATATACTTCCAAAATTGTACAGGCATCGTAAAGTGATTTGTAACCTCCAAAACAACCCATTAGTGCAACTGGGGAATTTTCATATACCAATGGGTTATGATATGGTTCTTTCCCACTTACAAAACTGGATGGTTGCTGCAAGAAACGACCCTTAAATTGGTGGGTCTTCTGGCAACCGCCAGAAAAGCCAAAACAGTACTATCCCCACGCGTAGTTTCCCCATCATTACATTGTAAATTCCTCGTGCTTGGAGATATCCTCGTCGAACGAAGATCCTCATTGAATCGGCTGGTGAACATCCAAACATTGTTGTGTGCTGAATCAACTCAATGGATTGGAGAATTGAAAAACCGGAAACCATCCATAATGTTATTCTCATTACTGATTACTAAATCCATCTAAATCCATAAATGTCACTGAAAAACCCCATTGATTCTTGCTTAAATCCAATAGATTCCCATTGCTGCTTGGCGATGTGTCACTATGTTTTATGGATAACTAGCATTTACTAATCACCATTCATAGGGTTTATTAACCACATTATTTATAAAAACACTTATTAACCATTATTAGTCCAATATAGAATCTATGATATTAACCATTAACCATTATTAACCACGTTAAAGTCATGAGAAATCCGCTGTTTGGTGCCTCGACGGTGCTGCTCCAGCGGCCACTGGGGCATGGCAAACATTCGGAGCCTGGCTCGAAGGATGATCGGGAAAAATAATGAAACAATAAATATAAATATGTATAAATGTGTCTATATATATATATTATATAATTCTATATTATATATATATGTAAAATCTGCCAATATCATCCAATATCTATGTTTTTTTAGGGAAATGAAGGAAGAAATTGGGTTGGATGAAAGATTGTTTGACAAAACATGGATCCATATAGATGCCGTTCTGTTCATTCATGCCAATGATCATGATCAAGCTATGGCAATTTCACGGCCACCATCCCGTTGAACTCTACAAGTTTCATATCGCCTTCAGCGGCCCAGGTGCCAGCAACACATCCAAAGCAGCTGGAACCACCTGGCCTTGGAACGAAAGTTGGTCCTCCCGGATTTTCTGCGCGGGAAATCCGGATCCCAAAAATGACGAAAAGCCATGGAATTGGATCCATGTGGATGTCGAACGATCGTGGATGTCTATAGTTAGTGATGTTCTTTCCTTGATTGAAGTGAATTGTCGCTTTAGTTTAGAGCTTTAGATCTTAAAATTACTTCAAACGGTCTGAAAGGAATCACTTCTTCAGTATCGGTTGATCATAAATGGATCATTAAACCAGTGATATGAGTATTACTTTTAATATCGTTTATATAATCATCTCACAATAATAATGTCTGAAAGGAAACACTTGTTGATCAAATATGGCCTATGGGGATGTGTACCAACTGCCCATCTCAACAGTAACGAACAGTAACTTGCCACCTGAATAGCTACTGGTAGGTTGGAAGGATGGTCCTTCAAAAAAAAACAGGTTTTGCTGCAGTGTTTACATCTCAATTTTAGCTGGTGATTTTGTTTCAAAATGGATACAAATTCGGGGGGTTCACCAGCGAAGATAGGGAATCTGGTGGAAGCTAACCTCGGATTGATTTTCCAAGGCGTCCATCAACTCCATGCCCCCAGAATCGATTCCAAGGTTCATGTACCATCTGGTTATGACTAACATAGCCATGGAAGCCATGGCCGTTTGCCTATTAAAAATTGTGATTTTCCATGGCTATGTTAGTCATAACCAGATGGTAAAATTTACCCAAAAAAAAAACAATGTTCATGGTAAAATTAATTACCAAAAAAACAGCAAGTTCCGACGAAAGTCCGACAAAAAATCCTGCGGAATGTCCGTTGAACCCAGCGATCCCAGCAGTCACCGAGCTGTTTGGTCCTGGGCAGCCGCACTCACTACTCCGACCAGGGGAGCAGCTGCTGCATGCGTTCTCCAACATTGATTGCCCGGCCTGGGAAGAGTTCTTGATACCTTCTGGTAAACATACAAAAAGCTATTGAAAATGGCCACAGAAATAGTGGATTTACCCATTAATAGCATGGTGATTTTCCATAGTTTTGTGAACATTTACGAGAGGGTAATCGGAGAATCAGGCTGGAGATGTTTGGGGAAATCTCAAGGTGAAAACCACCAGAAAATGGGCACCGATTTCAACCACCAGAAAAGATCATTCGTTTTTTTTTCATCCCTCAATCCCAGGGGAATGATCCACGAAATTTGGGACATCAAGCGTTGTATTACGTTCATGGGGATAGTCGCTGAAGGATGGGTTTAGGGAATATCGTATCGGCTTGGAATAGCAGTGGCAGCTGAACCAGAAGCCTCTCTGGACTGCACTGATGTGATCAGCATTCCTATCGCAAGCTGTGTAAATCGAGGAACAACCACCTATCAGTGCAGAGAGGGACATCGGTAGCAGCTAGGACCTATTGGGGATGGATGGGGAAAAAACTTGAGAACACCGTAGTTTTGAAACACCAATAAAATGTCCAGTAACTATGATAAATTTTGGGGGATAGATGTTTTTAATATTTATGAATGGGGATAGTTTGATAGTTGCCCTGTGGTAATCAAACATGGTTTGAGGGAAAATCCCCAGTTCGCTCCATGATTTTTCCCGGCAAACTAAACCTCCATTTACGGTTAGAAGAAACTTGTAGCCATACCCTGGAGATGGTTGAAGTATTTATTTTGTCATTTGTTTGTCGTTGTTTTTGCCATTGTTTTATATTGTTTTTGTCATTTCAGTTTTGGTCTGTCATTTTGTGTCATGTTTTTTGTCATGTCACTTTTGGTCTGTCATTTTTGTTGGCCATTTGTTTGTCAATGTTTTTGTCATTTGAGTTTTGGTATGTCATTTTGTTTGTCATTTCTCTCAAGTTTTTTGTGTATGTATGTATGTGTGTATGGAAAAATATCAAAAATTACAAAAAAATACAAAACATGACAACAAAATGGCAAATAAATGACAATGCCTCGAGAAAAATGTGTTTTTGCAACCTGCAAATTTGTATTTGTTTGTCATTTGTTGTAAAACTTTGTCATTTTTTTCGCACATATCACCAAAATGACAAAAAATACAACAAAATGGCAAACAAATGACAATGCCTCGAGAAAATGCATTTTTTGAAACCTGCAAATTTATCACTTTTTGTCATTGTTTGTGTTTTTGTCGTACATATCACAAAAATGCAAAAAATGCATGGATTTCTCGAGGCATGACGTCATTTGTTTGTCATTTTGCTGTATTTTTTCCATTGGGTCAAAACCAATAGTACCCCTGTAGTTCACATCAAAATAGCTGGGATTCATGGATGTGAATAACCCTCTAAAAATGGTATTTTCATAGGTATTGATTCATAGCCGTATTTTTCCATTGCTATGTTTGATGACCGAAGGGTATGATCAATGCTTGGTTCGCTGCACCTTGGTGCTGCGATCCTCGATGGTCGAATGAGATTTTTCGCAGTATCCAATCCCCAAACTTTAAAGTTATACCATGTTATACCGGAAAAGGCCCTGATTTAGATAGGAAACTCCCAACTTAAGTTGGTTTCAATATGTTTCAATCTTAATCTTCCTGGTGAACACTTATATAACTCCCAAGCGAAAATTCCTTCCAACAAAGCGTGACTTCAGCCATATCCCCAGGCGCCTGAAGCCCAATGCGCCCTGCAGGGCAGAAGGCACACTCGCTCAAGCCCTCCGAATCCGTCCAACGTCCCACAGGACAATCCTGACCTTGGTACGCCATGGACGCTGGAAGACGGCTGGCGGGCTTTAGGAGAAATTGTTTGATCAAATCAAGGTGAATCACTTACATTCATTTGAAATTGATCAATATGTGTGTTCGAAGCCAAGATGCCAATTTGGAGATTTGGGAAGACATAAACTATCCTTCAACAGGATTTGGCGCATGTTTCCAATAATCAGAATCAAGGCAAAATGCCGTGCTGCGACACAAAATTTTAGAGAAATGTCAGACTGGGGCTTTCCACAGTGGGACATTTCTTCGATCATCAATCTGGGTCACCAGGCCAGTTTCTTGAGGAAACAGCAAGATTAAAATTCCGGTTTGCGGAGATTCCATGCCTTTTTAAAGGATCCCCACTTCATCTGACCACATCCCACTCCATCCGCAGCACACTTTTCTCGTGTAATGAAAACGTTGCGGTCCGCGGTGTTCGTTGCACCTGAGCAACCCATCTGGCCTAAAATGAAGCAGTTGGGTCAAGTTCTGCATCTGAATTTGAATAGTTACAGATACATAACAAATGTGTGTATATATACATATTGTATATATATATACAGTACATTCTAATTGGGCATATTTCTCGTGGCCATCCAATTTCTTCAGGTCGAAAAGTTTGTATCAGATCTCTCTGGAGTCATCAAGCACAAAAAAAAAAGAATTCTGGGCAAATATAACCACAGTCATTGCCATGAAAAATCTCTTCATGGCACATTAGAGACCTATCTGTTTTCAGTCAGCGGAGCCCGTGTTCAAAACCGGAGCTTGATCAGTGTTCAAAACCCTGTGTCGTCCCTAAACATACTGGTTGAGACCGGGATTCCCCTAATGGATTCTGATAATCCTCAATATATTGGATAGTATTTTTTTGCCCATAGCCATCATTTATCAGTTATATCCTCTTATATCATCTGATGAATCCCCATGTTGTCATGGTTAAAAATCCCTATTTTCATCATCGAGGCGTAACCGGAAAAACGACCACGGTTACGCTTCCGACACCTCAAAGGTCCGCGGTCAGCTTGGCTAAGCGTCTTTGGTTCCGCTGCCCAATTCTGCGAAGGGCCACCTGCCTGGAGTGGAGAACGAAAAACTTGGGATGGAGAACGAAATATTGGAATTTTCTAATCCCAATTGGGAATAGTGGAAAAAAAGTTATGCTTGCTATCCGAACTAATAAACCAAAGATCATGAAGATTCCAAATAGTGATTGTTTATTGATAACGAAATAGTGAATAATGAGAGAAAGCCAATTCCATAAACAACTACCAGTTGGGGTTTGTTTATGCAACCCATAAAAATGGTGATTTGGGGATGGTTTATGGCATTGGGTTTACCACATCATTCAGAATGATGAATCTTTATGGATCTTTGGGATTCAAAACCAATGGTGAATCTTGATTCGTGCCAAAAGCAGCCAGTCCTGATAGATATTCTCGTGAATTCCGACGCTGACATGGGTTCAATGATGAAATCTCAGTCATCCAGTGAAAAAAAAAATCATCACTGGTGAAATGTCGACGACTCCAATGGTTGAAATGAGGGAACAACCCCTCTTTGCATCCCCATTTGAGTTGCTATCTTGACCACACGTGGTACCGACGGCTGGCTGGCCATCTTTAGTGAATCCCCAAGTTCTGGTCTTAAAACAGCTTAAAATCCAGTGCTTTTTTTTGTGCTTCCCCGGGATGCCCCGAACTTCACAACTGCCACCTCTCATGCTCCGTCATCTCCCGCCTGATCTCGGCTTAGCACCGGATCACTCAAGCCCAGTAAGGGGGTTGTGGTTGTAGTGGTTGGCGATCTGACTCATATAGAACAGCTGTGGAAAAAAAAAAAACATGAATCTTCTCTCGTATTTTGGTGACCCATAGATCCTTGATCATAGATCTTCCCATCCTTCATGGATTACACGGCCATGTTTCTTCGATTTGATGAATATAGATTCCCCATCTGATTCCCCATGATTCCCCCTGTTTTTGTTGACAGCCCCACTGGGTGAAAAACCCAAGTGATCTAAAGAAAAAGCACATAAAAGCACATGCTTTGTTCAATGCTATTACTCCAATCTAAGATCCATGGTTTTTCAATGTTTAAATCCCCATCTTGGATGATTTTTTGACTATCCCCAAACGGTTAACCACCAGGGACCCCTGAACAACGGTGACTGCTTAAGCACCACGGACCGTCCCGACGTCGGCTTCGCTTCGCCCAGCAACCAGTTGGCAATCCGCCGCATGGAGCCGTCGTCGTTCAGAATCACGGGGCCCAGGTGGTCCATTTTGACCGGCACCTCGGTCGCCACCAAACCACCGAAAGCCGAACGAGAAGGCCGGGGCCTGAGAAGGGGGACCAGATGCCAACCAGTGACCCATGAAATAATAGGGAAAATGATGGGAAAATGATGATGAAAAAAAGTGGATAGACTGGGTTAGACAAGTTAGACAGTTTTCGGACCAAGCCATTTAAGATCATTTAAGGATGGATAGCTTGTGCAATCAGATTCTGTGGTGTCAATGGGCCAAAAATGTCATGAAACCTTGATCATGTCTATGACCATGTCTATGGCAAGTCTAGAAACCCTGCAGAGAAAAAGTTAGCTCGGCAATGTAAATATTCTTGCGTAACAGAAAGTTTGATGATGTTCCATTATATACTGCCAGTTGATTTACCCATGGCTTACCAATCGTACTTGTCCATGGTTTTTTTCTACTCCAGCCCCTTCAAGGAAAAAAAACTTGGCGCTTTCCAGCTTTCATTGACCAAGCAGCTCCTCCCAACATCACCGTTTTGTCGGCATCGCCCCCATTGCTGGGTGTCTCTTCCAGATCTTCGATGGCCTGTTGAGCTCCTGATGCTGGGGGATGGCTGAGAAGATGATTTAATTCTTGGTAAGCCCAACAAAGATAGAAATGTAATTGACCACGATTTTAAGACCTGAAGTAGGATTTTACTCTCTTTTTTTGGGGGTTGCTTTAGTTGCCCTTTTTTTTTTCAAGCCTAGGATATATTGACAATCTTTTTGCGCTGCAAAATGTTGGGAAAGACTTTGCAAGAAGCTTGAAATCGCATTGCAAACGCTAAGTTATGACAAAAGAGACTTGTTGCAAAAGGGGGTTCCTAAACTTGGGGTACTTCCAAATCATCCATTTCGATAGGATTTTCCATTATGAACCATCCAGCTATTGGGGTACCCCATGACTTAGGAAACCTCCAAAGTGCTGCAAATCACGTGGTGAAACGTCTGCGGACCTCGATGCAGAGAGCTCGCATCGACAAGATCAAACCTGAGGAGTTTTCAAAATTTTCACAGCCAAGCGCTTGGAAAAATCATGAAAACTCAGCAAAATACCGGGATACCATGGGGGATACCTATGATTTTAATGTGGGATATGTGGGATTCACCGCCACCATTTTTCTGGGGATGCTCTAAGAGTCTCATCCCATCCCGGGATGATCCAAATGGCCGGGCAACTTGAGAAGCTCCAGCTGAAAGGTGACATCGGTGACATCCTCCGAGATCCTACGGAAAACCACTCGGCCGATTTTTTTTGCTGGGAGAATTGGAATCTGATAGAGTGAATTGATATGAATTGAACATATAAATGCCATCTATCCACAATTAAAAGATATGAAACTCAAGATACTAAACTCAACATCAGATAACGAATTATCCCGGATAGAGTTGAAGATGTTTCAACAACATCTTCATCACCGTGGAGTGCCAAGTCGACATCCCCACACTGTACATCAGCGCTCACCTCTCTCCCACCCAGGGTTGTCGTCTGAAAATCGGGTATCCCTCAACCCAATGATTCATCATCATTCTCCCTTCTGAAAAATCGCCATTTTTTGGTGGTATACCGGGTATACCCCATATAACTCCCATAGAAATACCCTACATCCTCCGTGTTTTTTCTGTCTCTCAACAGTCGCCTGTTCTTCGGAGCATAGCTGGCGCTCAAGCGGATCAGCGCCTCTTCCTTCTCCCGCATGCTGCCGATGGCCATATCCAAGCCACTGGCGGTTTTTATCCATGGGTCCAGGGGGAAAAGTCATTGGAATTCACCAAAAAATCACCATGGAGGGAACATGTCATATCACTGGAGGAAATGACGCCATTTGGTGATATGACATCAGTATGATTTGACATGAATTTGATTCAGATATTGGTGATATGACATCATGAATCCATATTGGCATGAAATTGAATCAGATCAGGAGACGTTCAAGATCTCGAAGGGTGTCAGAGGTGTTGCGGGTAGTGGCAATTCGTTTCTGTCGCAACAAGCTGAAGTTGGTGCATTCAAATTGTAGCACCTGGCATCTGGCTTGAATCTGGTTTGAGGGTTAAAATTTTGAGGCACGTCCATCCACTCAACAAACTTTTCAGAGTAAACCATATATCTTTTTCATATGCTTTTTTTTTTTAAGGGTATCTTCAAAAACATCCCGAAACATCCCGAAACAGGTACCCGGCCTGGTAAACATACAAAAAGCGAACTTGAAAATGGTCCAGTCGAAATAGATGATTTACCCATTAAAAATGGTGACTGTCCATAGTTTTTCCCTATAAATGGATTTCCCCTATAATCATTGGTGATAAATGATGGTGAAATATCTACTTGATTTACCCATTTTCATTTCGCATGGTGGATCTTTCCAGTTCTTTTTTTCTGAACGTAGAAACCAGGCCGGGTACTCGATCCAGAACCGCCATCCCAAAATATCCCAAAGCCGACGCGGCGCCTGGAAATCTGGCCTTGACCCAGGATGATCTCAGTGATGCCTGGTGGATATGATGGGGATACTTTTATAGAAAATTGGGATGATGGATACACCATGGTAATCATATCTATAACATGGATAATCCCAATAATCCCAATCATTATATATTATGGTATATAGAATAAAAATAACAATATATCTATAATTCATGGATAATGAATATATAATTTATAATGATAATCATGATTCGATTATAAATATATAATGAATATATATAATGGATATGTATAATGGATATCTAATGGATATCTGGATACATAATGAAGATATAACAATGAAGATAGAACAATGGAGATATAATTGGGATATAATGGGAAGACCTAAATTCATAGCAATCTGGATGGGGAATTACAGTATAAATGATTGCCCCGACGAATCATGGTCATTTCTCCTTTCCAATCTTTCCAACAACAAGCTCTTCACCTGAGCCATCCAATCATCAAAAACCGGGTGAAACTTGGGAATCACAACCATGGCCCCATGGCGCAAAAAAGCAACCTGAACCATGGCGCAAATCTGAGACACCTTGAATCTTCACCAAACATCGGATCCCAAACGCACACAGCTTTGCAGCATCGGATCCCAACCCCCGAATTTTCCTTTGTCGCAGTCATGCTCGCAGTCGCAGCATCGTGCGCTGTGCTGAGGATACCTGTGAATCTCTGAGGGAATCGACTTCCTCGGGAAGCCGACCACTTGCCATGCACTGTGAGGCTACCTGGGTATGGCTCCACAGTGAGAAAGTAATCCCATCCCATCCAATATGAAATTCCCGATATAGGGGACCCAAAATGAATAGATCCAGGACTATAAACCAAGTTTTGGGGTGGTACTTCATATTGGAAGGGATTAGCATTTTGGACATACAAATGGCCAGCTGGTCCTTTTTTAGGATCAACGATCCAATTTTCTGGTCCATCGCAGCCATACCCAAGTGGATCTCTATGAGACTCGACCTCCTCCACTGATGTTTTCTGCCATCAGAAATCTGCACGACGTGGACTTTCTTTAAACTCTGGTGACTTTTTGGGGCGAGACTTGGTCCTTGTTGACACTCGTCAAGATGGTCGGCAGGCGCGGAGCCTGCACAGCATGAAGGGCCTTGTCCACCATGATTCGGTCGTGGGCAATGGTGGCATCAATCAACACACCATTGAGGGTCACTGACTGTGCCTGGTGCAGAACACACAAGAGTAACCCACCGCTTGGCCCATGGCCGAACTGAGGGGATCTGTTCTGCGGTTTTATGCCGGCAAAGCCAAAGATTCAAAAAATGTTAGGCATAGGACTTCATTGATTTCACACCCATTATATAACTTGTTGCAAGCTTGCGACTATATCGCCCTGCCATGTTTTAAAGGTATGTAATGTTTTTCTTTTTTTGTTGGTTCCACATCACCAACACCCAAATAGCAAGGATGGTGAAAATTTGTGTTTGCCTCACTTCTAAGACCTGGGTAACAAACCTTTTGACCATATACCAAGCCTAAAAAACTCTGAGTGTATCATTTTTAGGGGATTTATCTAGGCAACATACCCTTGAATAGGTCTGATATCTAAGACCTACAATACATGACGCTTGAATACACAACAACAGCATGGCACCTGCAACTAATCGTGCAGTCCACTGGGGAGTCCCCCTTGCATCGTCCAAGTCAGTAGATCCGTTTAGTAAACCCATGGTGACTGGGGATCCCCCATTTGAAGAAACCTCCATAATTTATTGAAATCCCAGAAACAAATCCAATAAAACCACCATCAAATCACCTATGTGTGCTATAACAAATAGTAAATTCCCACCAAGCACAACAGAAATTCTGTAGTCCCGTTACGTCGTAACGTCCCGGTTACGTCTCGTTCAGAATTTCCATACGAAATTCCAGGCCTTGATGTCTCCTGGATGCAATTGATCCACACATCGCAAGAGGTACTCCTTGTACTTGTAGTAGGGCGCGGCTTGAAAACTTGCATCCTTGGGGTGTTGGGCGGGTAAGGCGGTAAGGTGCCCAGAACGGCATCCCCTAACGATCTCTGAAAGTTGGAGAAAACACTGGCTTCCATTAGATGCAAAGTACAAAACACATGAGTAAAAGAGAGGCGTTTAACGTTTAACTCTCTTTCTTGGATGCAAAAAGGCAAACATGTGTGAAACCATCAAGCATGAATAGATTGCTTACATCCTCACTTGTTGACTACGAAAAACAAAACAACAGCAACAACAACAACAACCACGACAACGACAACAACAACGACAACAACGACAACAACGACAACAACGACAACAACAGCAACAACAGCAACAACAGCAACAACTGCAACAGCAGCAGCAGCAGCAGCAACAGCAACAACAACAACAACAACAGCAACAGCAACCGCAACAGCAACAGCAACAACTGCAACAACAGCAACAGCAACAGCAACAACTGCAACAACAGCCACAACTGCAACAACAGCAACAACAGCAACAACAGCAACAACTGCAACAGCAGCAGCAGCAACAGCAACAACAACAACAACAGCAACAGCAACCGCAACAGCAACAACTGCAACAACTGCAACAACAGCAACAGCAACAGCAACAGCAACAACTGCAACAACAGCCACAACTGCAACAACAGCAACAGCGACGACAACAAAAACAACAACAGCAGCAGCAGCAACAGCAACAGCAACAGCAACAACAACAGCAACAACAGCAACAGCAACAGCAACAGCAACAGCAACAACTGCAACAACTGCAACAGCAACAACAGCAACAACTGCAACAACAGCAACAGCAACAGCAACAGCAACAACAACAGCGACAATAACAACAACAACAACAACAACAACAACAACAACAACAACAACAACAACAACAACAACAACAACAACAACAACAACAACAACAACAACAACAACAACAACAACAACAACAACAACAACAACAACAACAACAACAACAACAACAACAACAACAACAACAACAACAACAACAACAACAACAACAACAACAACAACAACAACATCACATACAAGAAAAATAAAAAATAAAAAATGATATGAAACGTAACTAAACCATACTCAAAACCCACCCCAGCATCAATTTCATGGGCAAACCTCTGCCCGAAGGCCTCCTTCACACGCTCCTCCTCGTGTCGGTTCCGGGGTTTCTGCGGCGCGTGGAGCTTGGTCTGATGCAGACCCATCAGCACGAAGTCGTCCAGGGAGATCAAACCATCACCATCCACATCCGTCAGTTCGAAGAGTTTCCTGGGCACCAAAATATCCGAAAATCCAATGTAAATCTCTCAAAATCCATGGGGATTTTGAAGCCAAAGTCCAAGATTGATGCGAATTTCGACCCGAATTCTAGGTTTAACATGGTTTAACCAATGTAATGGTAAGTCTATACAGGGAATTTCAACCCAAATAGGACAGCAATCTGAAATAACCACAGTAATCTGAAATCACCAATGTCATTGGAATTCTAAGCAATCAACATGGGATAGTACAGCGATTTGAAACTTACTGAACCCTGCCCAACCGATCGTGACACCGAAATAGGATCGTCTAATCAAGAATGGCAATGTGGATAATATGGGACAATGGAAGAACTCAATTTCTTGTTGGTGGTTGAGTCAACCATCCCACTTTTTAATGCGTCAAAACGTTTTCTGCTACCATTTTATGGGATAAATATGAAAGTCACTGGGTTTCATCATGCCATCTGAAAAGACCTGGAAAGTAGAAGCACACATTGAGATCATTTTAAATGCAATTTATATAATAAGTAGAAACAAAAAACTCTATGGCTTCAGATATGACACTTTTATATGGTTTGGAGATGTTTGGAGGATAGAAAGGACAAACAAAAACAAAAACATAAAGAACATCTGACAGCAGCGCTCAGCACCGAGGCACCGAATGGTGCGGATCAGCTCCTTCTCCGGCTGATCGCAGCGCACTTCCGTGACGAGTTCCAAGCATAGTTCGGAGCAGTTGCCGCAGAACGCGGTGTTTCCCATGGTGCAAACGTTGAGAGATGACCAAAGGATGGACCAAAGGATCTAAGACGATCTAAGATGATCTTTGTGGATAAAATGTGTGATTTTTTGTGTAGTTAAACTGAAGCAAAAAATGATGTTTATGTGACCAAAAGTATGCCACAGCCATGTTGTGCTCGGGCCTGACCTTCCTTGTCATTGGGATTTCAGAGCCAAAGCTGAAGGGACCACATGAGATCTGAAACATGTAGGTTCTGAAGTTGATGCCTTATCATTGTTTGTCTTCTTAAACTTGCAAAACCGGGTCTATATCCCCAGTTTTGGGCAAACCCAACATCATATTCCGTTAACTTCTCATGAAATCCTTATTTATCCTTATTTTTCCTGGATAAATCTCCCAGTTTTGATATGATCCATGCACGGTACATCATCGACGAAGCCACCAAGTGAATGGCCGGCACCTGGATCATCGAGCACTTCTCCAGAGGGGGAAACTGCAATCTCAGCTAGCTGGGAATTGGAGCCCCAAAAAGCGGTAATGTGGTTAAAGCAATGCCATGTTTACCATCCATTTTCCTGGGAATGGTGCCACCATACCAAACAAAAAATGGTAATGACCGGGGGATGGTTCATTGTCTTACCCACATAAAATCATGGTTATTAATGGTGGTTCATGATAGTTCATGGTGGTTAATGATGATTCATGAAAAATGGTGGTTAATGGCATTGTTTTACTAACACCAAATTACTAGCTACCACCATTGGTAAAATGTGCCTGGAATCGGAACATCCATGGAAAATCTCGCCTATTTTCGTAGCCATGGAGGTGAACGTAGTTCGCGAAAATCAACGAACCCCACGTTTGATTGATGGTATTTCAGATGTTCATTTTCCTCAAATCTCAAAATATGCCATGTAGGTTTCAAGCCACAAATCAAAACGAGGAAGACTTGAAGTCTCCACTTTGGAAATTCAATGGAAAGTCAAAGTCTGACCTTGGAAATCCCAAGTCAAACCATTCCCAAAACATAAAATAGATCCACTAGCCACCAGTACTTCATATCAAGAATCCACCATGAATGCAGATGATTCCCTAGGAAATCATGAACTTTGATGGGTTTTTCTTGGGAAACCATGGATGTTTGTTGTCCTTTTTGGGTGATTACTACCAAGTCGCTGGGCCACGCACCGTGGCTCGCACAACGGAGCCACTTTCGCCTACGACAGGTGGTTTCAGGGCCACATGAAAATGCCATCAGTATAACCCCATGTCTCAGAAAAACATAACCATGGCCCACATGGTGCTCATGGAAAAATCGCATTGAAGTGTTTGGTTGAAGCCATATAATTGCTATTATACCCATTATATATCCATTATCATTATATCACCATTTTACAAGGTTAATCGATGTTAGATCCACATTAAATCTCATTAAATCCCAATAAAATTCCCATGAAATTCCAATAAATCCCCATGAAATGGTTGGTTTCACCAATATCAAACCAGTTTTTTTCCCTCCAAGCGGGGTTCGGGCCCCACCTTCGGGCAAGGTCGAGCCAGTGCCCGTGCGCAGGCAGCGTTTCAGCACCCCTCCATCGCCACTGAGATCCTGGAAAACTCTGCTGCTAAGCTGATAGGGAGATCACAGGAGAGTCATCGATTTTTCAAAAATTTCGCCACACTGTGGTGGTCATCAAACTTTTTTTGTAGTTCAGAGAGTCAACATGAGCTTATGTGGTGGTTTGGGTTGGTGGTTTGGGCATTCTGGGAATTTTACCATCTGGTTATGACTAACATAGCCGTGGAAGCCATGGCCCATTTATAGATGATTTTCCCAGCTATAAACCTCCATTCATAAGGGATTTTCCATGGCTATGTTAAATAACACGATGGTAAGTTTTTTAACATGTTTTCTTGAAAAACAGTTAACCCCCCAGAAACAAGGGGCGGCCAGATCTCTGGTCATTGAAATATCATCCTGATTGGTGAGACTTCCCAGCCATGTTTGAAGCCATACCGGGTATCATGAGTTTTATATACCCATTGTGTTCCCCAGTATATCCCCATGATATTCCCATGAGTTTACCATTTTGCATGGTTAAATCATGTTCAATCCCATGAATTGTCCATTCATGTCCCATGAAACCCCACTAAAATATCTGAAATTCTCCCAACATCCAGTCCCCTTCATTCCGTTGTTTAAACGGCCACGTCGCCACGTCCTCCAGGCTCTCGCTCCGCAGAATCAAGGCATTCAGAAGTCCAGAGACCAGCGCACGGTGGAGCCATCGCATTTGGTGAAAAAAAGATCTGATGGGATGACAAGGTGCCCATATTGGTGTATCAAATATATCATATATGGGAAAAATATCTCCCAATCTCTATGGTACAAATATCATATTTATTAATTATTTATATATAGAGAGAGAGAGATGAAAGTGATATATCAGATGTTGGGATGTGAAGAAGTATCCCATTTTGGTGGTGACGTCATATTGACCCATGCTTAAAAGCTGCGATGCCGAAGCAGGTCGACGATAAATCATGCATCCGGTGTCCTCTATCTTCCTATGTGAGGTTTTTAGTGAGGCACATTTCAACTTGAGTTTACTTGGGCCCTTCAAAAGTAAACATATGATGGTGAGTGGATTGAACTATTGAATTTAGGTCCTCGATTTACTATACAATTTACCAGTACTATGAAGATGGTAAGCAAATCTAGGTCCGCTGTGTCTTTCTTTCAATTTCCTACTGGTTCTGAGATGGCTGTTGCCAAAAGAAGCTGCAAACCATCAGACAGGGCATCTGTACAAGGTGGTATGTGTATGGCCCAAAAAAGAATTCAAAATTTCGTTGCGTGTACCATCTTTCCGAGTCTATCCGTTTGGGAGGACAACTTGACTTTTGTTTGATTCGCCATTGAAAGCTCTTGGAAACCCCCAATTCATTTGGTGCCAGATCTTTGACCAACTGGTCCAAATCTTGAGACAGAACCCAGGGGGATGGATCAAGATTTAGCCACAATACCTGCAGGTTGTTGTGGCTCTGTCTCGGATCGTATTTGGGTACAAAAAATGACTTAACGCGTTTGCAATAAATTGGCTGTGGGTCAAAACCCTACCCTGGGTACCCTAAGTCATAGCGGATATGGCTGGTTAATGCTGGTTATTCCCCCAGTCATCTGGTAATTTCAGGGGTAACTTGACCCATACCCAACTGAGCAGTGTTCAAAATCCCTCTGTCATTCCATCAAAAACTGGTTGGCTAATAGGGAGTCCCCCCTTTGGATTATCATTATTATCCCCAATAGATACAGGGTAATCCCCGAACTAATCATCAACCAACTCAATTACCCTCTGGTTATTTAACATAGCCATGGAAGCCATGGCCCATAGAAATAGATGGTTTACCTATTAATAGCATGGTGGATCTTTCCAGTTCGCTAAAGCACAAATAACCAGATGGTAATGCATTATTATTATTATCCCCAGTAGATAAAGGGTAGATTTTCATCCCCGAACTAATCATCAACCAACTCAATGAATGCATTGACCCATTAACCATTCAGCTAGGTGGCACAATGAAGCATCCGTCTTGCCAGCTTCTGCGCCAAAACGCCCGGCGTCACAAGGCCTTGGACAAAAAAACAGCCATAACCAGGGGCTGCTGAGAAGGAGGAAGGCTCTGCCTCAACGTGGCTAATCCAATACTGACAATATGATTCTATATTAGTGATGGTAATGATCATGATGATGATGATGATGATGATGATGATGATGATGATGATGATGAACATGAAGATGAAGATGAAGATGAAGATGAATATGAAGATGAAGATGATGATGAAGATGATGATGAAGATGATGATGAAGATGATGATGAATATGATGATGATGATGATGATGATGGTGATGGTGATGATGATGATGATGAAGATGAAGATGAAGATGAAGATGAAGATGAAGATGAAGATATGTCCCCATCTTTGATCGACTCCAACCAAAATCCAACCCAGCCGGCCCTTGGTTCCCAGGCGTGCAGGAGAAGGTTTCGTTGCCCGTGGCACCCACGGCATCGCTCCTTCAATCTGGGTGCTGGTTGAGCTACCCTGAAAATTATTACAAATATAGTCAGAAATACAAAATAGTCCATTTCATATGTTACATCTATAGTCTGATGAAATCGAAACTCATCCCAATTATTCAATTCTAGGCTTGAATTTTATAGATATGAATGAAACCAGCAGCTAATTTCAAATCTCAGGGAGCGATCTGGGCTGCCCAGCCAGGAACCGGCATAGCAGAGGCTGCAGCTGCCTGGCGGTGGATTATCCGATTATCCCATGGCATTTTCTTATTCATATCACCCTCTGGTATTACCACGGTTTTACCATGGTTTACTATGGTTTACTATGGTTTAATATGGTTTAATGATGGGATGATTTGCTGGGATAATGATGGGGTAATACTGGGATATTGATGGATATACCCTCTGGTAATGACTGTTACAGTTTGCTATTGAAAATGGCCCAGTCGAAATAGTTGATTTTCCTATTAAAAAATGGTGATGTTCCATAGTTATGTTAGTTTGCCAGAGGGTACGTCCCGATGATTTTGGTGGTTTTTCACATCATCTGAATAATAACCACCAAATCATGTTTTGTTTCTGTCAAATAGATGCCAAATCATTTTGCTTAACATAGTATGATGTTACATCATTATCTTATTATAACCCCATGTTTGTTGTTTTTTGTTCCACAGGTGCTGTTCAAAAATCCCCATGATCTTTCCATTAATCTGCGTCTATCATCGTCCCCATGGTTAAGATTATCGTAGATATCTCATGATATCCCCATTTTTCAAAATATGTCAATATCCATTATATACTTATGATATTAAAAGTACTTATTAATAGAATTTAATATATTTCCATTAACCACTAATGTGCCTACAAATATACCATACATAATATATATATACACATACTACATGATGTTGTTCCCCCGTTCCTGTTGTTGTCCAAAAAAAATCCACTCCCTGTTGGTCATCCCTTCGGCTCACCGTGTCACCTGCTCCAAAGTCACTAAAGCGCCCTGGCTCACCTGACGGCTACTGGTTCACCCGAATGCAGGACTTCACTGGATATGGGGATTTATATGGGGATAGTTGTTCGAATTGATATATGTGTATTGATGTATATACGTATATATATATAAATTATATATGTATATATATGGTTGTTGATCAAAATTCCTTTATCCCGGAACGGCCATTCTTCGCGAATAAAAATTTTACTTTCGCGAAACTTTCGCGAACTCCATGTTTATCTTTCGCGGGGCACATGTTGGCCAACAACACCTCATATGAAGATTCGCTCACCACCTGCCAAATTACGCCAGAGAATCACGGATCACTTCTTGGCAGCCTTTTAAACATGCAGCTAGCATCACGGAATCCCTTCTCAGGACAGATTTTTTTTGCAAAATTTACTGGCCCACCCCCTTCAACATGCACTTTGACTTTCGCCCGCTCTTTCGCATAACTTTCGCGGAACTTTCGCGAAAATATCCCTATTCACAGACCCCGGCCATCAGCAGGGGGTGCACTGAAGGAAAAGCGAAGACCAGGGGCCTTGGTGTTTGGCTCTCGCAAAGCCTCCCTTTTGGAAACTTGGCTACTGCTACTCGCATTCTCTGGTGCCCTTCTCCTGCCGGACCCCGGGCGGCAGTGGGTGGCAGCCCTTTACATATAATGATTATAATACTCAACTTTCGCGAAACTTTCGCGAAATAAAATTTTACTTTCGCGAACTCGAAAAAAAACTTTCGCGAGGGTTTCCAACATAACATGCACGGCTTTCGCAATTAAAACTCCTTACAAGGACCTTTAGATCGATCACCATATATATATATAATATATATACACATTTATACCAGGATGATTCTTTTGGGAAAGCAACCGTTTAAACTGCTGGATTCTTTTAATGGAAAATGTTCAGCGGAAACAATGTTTTTGCTAACGGGTGCCAAACCGTACGTGTAGTTACACACATTTTCAACATGGGGTGGGGTGGGGTGGGGATGTTAACGTTCGTTTGCAGTTGAACACGCCACGCATGCTACGCTGAGCATGTGTTGGGGTGGAGATGTGAACGTTCGGTTGAAGTTGAACACGCCACGCATGCTACGCTGAGCATGTGGTGGGGTGGAGATGTGAACGTTCGGTTGAAGTTGAACACGCCACGCATGCTACGCTGAGCATGTGGTGGGGTGGCATTGACTCAGCTTGGAAGTTGTGTAAGGCAGCAGTGCCGTCCTCAGTCTGTACAAAAACGGGTGATGGTTTCAATGCCAAGATCGATCAATACATTCGATCCTGGCAATGGCGTTGGGAAAACGCTTTGTGTCCTGACCTCATGAAAAAAACCGCAGAGGTCTACATGCACAATGATCAATGAAAGTGGCAAGGCAAAAAAAGGTCCGAAATTTGTGCTGTAAGGGTTGCAAAATCCAAGAAAAATGACCTTTTTTGGGAACATTTTTTTCCTGATCAGAAGGCCACGAAACACTGAAAGGGTTATCATTTTTTTCAGCATGTTGATGCGCCTACACGCGCGATTCCGCACCCGGCGGGATGTTTTTGATCCCCAAATAGCGGGGTTTCCTGTGAATGTTCCCATCAACCAATTCCAGGAACATCATCAAAACAAGCAGAATGGTTGATGGGAATATTCATATGATGAACAACGAAGTTGTTGTGTTGAAGAGGCCAGACAACTGAGTTTCAAAAGATCAAAGTCCTTTCAGCTTGGCCCAAAACATGGCATTCTCAGGTGACCAAGTTGCTGCAAATCAAGCCATGGCCTGGTCTCGAAAAATTGGAACCCAAATCAACTGTGGCTTATCATAAGTTTCCCTAGTAGCTAAGAAAAAAATATGAAAAATTATATAAACATACCTCTGCAGAATACCCCAGGTCCCTGGTAAAGCCAAGCCCTCTCTAAATGGTGCAGTGGTAGGTCCCGGCGATCGAAATCTGCCGGTTCCATCTGCAGCTCAGCAGCAAAGCTCGCAGCTTTCGAAGCTGGAGGAACCCAGCCTGGCCATGAAATCCCAGCTGGTTTTTATAGAGGTTCCCAGTGAATGGGTGGTGTTTTAATCCTTGACTTAAGGGGATGGTTTATGATGGTTTATGGATCTGGCTTCACCACCAAAAAAGCCTGATGGTTCATCTAAAAAATACAATACCATATGGTTTATGGATCTGGGTTACATTCATCCTGATATCATCGAAAAAATACCTATCTTTTGCCGTAGCTTTGACCCCAATAGTCCATCAGTATCGCAGGATGCTGCCGCAGTTGGAGCTGATGGCTCCAGTGGCGATTTCACCAACGCTGAAAAACCTGGTCCTGGCTCTGCTTCATTCTGCTGAAAATGGAGGCTCATCACACTAAAAAAAAGCAACTGATTCATATAATATTATATATATATATATATCAAATATATTTAATATTCCTGGTTACCAAGTCCCCGATTCGTAGCTTATCCCATTTACAATATTTTACAACTGCAAAAAATAAGATGTTATTTCAGATGTTATTTCAGCCCGTTTACAAAGCACTTACCAAAACCAAGTCTCCCGGCACTGAGGAGGCTCGCCCAGCTGAACAGTGGATACACACATCCTCCTCGCCGTTGAAAAGGGGAAAATCACTAAGAAATAGGGGGGATTGAACCAGTAAAATATAGTAAAATCAGTAAAGAAATGGGTGGTATTGAACTATCAAACCCACCATGTTAGACATTTTCTGATATACTTGACTATAGTTCGTGGGATTTTAGGGAAGAATCAACAAATGGGTGCTATGACCAACGAAAAGTTGCATTTCTTTACCAGGGATTTGACCTATGAATGATGTGGGGATAAAGAAGCCATCAAGACATCGTTAGACGGGGTGTTGAGCTGTTGAACCAACCTTTCATGTATGGTATAACAGTATAACAATAACCAATATTGGCCTCTCTCCCTGAATTTTTCGGATACCGCAAAAATGACGTTCATTTTGAGTAAGAAAATCTTCAGTGGTGCCGGTGCCCGATGCGGCTTGCTTCTTGACTTGATAGGAATCATTTTCTCGACATCTTGTTGATATTCCACAGATCATGAATCTATTCTAGCTTCATGTGCTATCATCAATAAATGAACGTTGATAAGTTTGATAAGCCAAAACTCCGTTACCGGCATTGAATGAAATCATCACCACTAAATCGTCCTGGGCAGCGCCCTCCGCTGCGGCCCACCTGGTATTTTCGGAAGGACCCTTTCAGTGTGATCATCCAAAGTGAAAAACGGGTCGCCATAACTCTAATGATTCCACTACCCTGTAGTAATTTAACATTATATAATGGGATTTAATGGGATTTAATGGGAATATCATGGATATGTGATATAAGTATATATGATACCCTGTGGTAAACGTTTACAAAAAGCTATTGAAAATGGCCATAGAAATAGTGGATTTACCCATAAAAAGCATGGTGATGTTCCGTAGTTATGTAAACGTTTACCGGAGGGTAATTCCATGATGATCATTTGACTGGTGAAATTTCACTGGTCATCCAATGATCATCAACAGCTTTTAGTTGATTGATTTGCAGAAACCAATGCGTTTGGGTCCCCCATGACTTTTGGGTCCCGTTGGATCGGAATTTCTGGGATCCATGACCGTTCTTTGGAAAAGTCGACGGTTTACCAGAGGAAGTCAGGTGGATGTCTTTTTTGCAAATCCTCATCTGATCCAGCTGTTTCCCCAATTTCTGCTGATTCCAGGAACCCCCCGTGATCCAAGAAGAACGAATTCGAAGCAGTTGGGCCTTCCAGTTGGGCATTCGAAGCAGTCCAGTGGACTTTGCGTTCCCTCTTGGTTGCTCCACCTGCCAGATCCCTTGAAGATTAGATGGGATGAGGGGATTTATAATGGAGAAGATTTAAACCATGTAAACGATCCAATTTTCAAAACTCACTTGAAATTGAATGTGAAATTCAATGGAGAAGATCATCGCCAGCCAACTTGAGGGTTTGAACACTGGAAGGAAATGATCCACCGTAGATTTTCCATTGTCATAAAAACTGGTGAATTTTATTGAACGTTTTGCTGTTTGGGGAATGGTCGAAAGATGTTTTCGCAAAGCATGCTGTGGGCAATAGCATGAAAAGACTACAGTAGAATCGCCAGAGTCAATCAAATGGAATTTTCACACTCCCGGACTCCCGAAAAAAAAAATCGCTTGGCACAAACCTAAGAACTCGGCTTTTCAAAACAGCAGTGCTACAATCAATTTCAACAGGTTGATATACTGCTGGGGCAAGTCATGTCGGTGCGTCAACGGAGCCCACCTGCCCGCAGGACAGGCTTGGCAATTCACTGCCTCAGAGTTCTGCGAAAAATCTGCGAATTGGTGGTCGAATTGGTGGTTCCCTATGGAAATTGCTACCCCAAAGCCTTGGTTTTTCCTTTGATCATGACCAATTTTGGATCAACGGAGCTGTCAGGAAAATCACCAGAGAATCAGAGGGTGCGCCATGGTTGCTGTTGCTACACCATGCACCCCACTGGTGTTGCTGCTGAAACATCTTCGTGTTTGGGATTTCATACATTAATGCTGATGGTTGAATCATGTTGAATCCCTATTGTGCTGGAACAAATCCCAAACCACTACTTTCGATGACTGAATTGACTAAATCACTATCTTTGATTCTTAAATCGAAAATTTGTCGTGCATGTTTCATAGCAAATTTGCTGGTTACGTCCCCCTCTTTAGTGCTATAATGGCCTTCTTCTTGCCACAACAGCCCAACAACGAAGCACGCGGTTGGCTTTTGCACCCAAGTAGCACCTTCCGTGTTTTCACTGTCGGTCCACCTGGTATTTGTGGGAAAGGTATGAAAAATATGTGGCAAACTGGGAAAATCAAACAAACCATGGCGATCCATGAGAATTTCAAGTCAATGGCCAATCACCCTTTAATTTCTGGAGATTTTTGTTGGGATGAAACTGATGTAGAATCCCATCCCCGCATCATTGTTAGTTTTACCCTCCCCCCAAGCGTATTTATGCGAATTTAATACAATCGCGGATGGGATTCAATGGACGTTTCATTTCCCTATTCTGGTGGTACCTGAATACAAGATAGTGTACGTGATTGGAGAATCATGGAACATGCATAGAAAATGGCTGGTACATAACAGTGCACATCCCGAAATGATGGTTTTGAAGGTTTTGATCTATATACATGTACTACATCACCCATCTGCCTGTGAACATACAATCTCAACTCAGAATGGGCTGGCTGCCAAGCATTCTTACTCACAGCAAGTAGAACAAGTAGAAGGCTCGGACAATACGAATACAAATTTGGGGTCGGCATGGCCGGCATATAGCCAACTCAGCTGACAACGCAGGAAATTGTATGAAATTGTTTCATCTTCACAGCACATCTGCCTCTGAGCATGCAATCTCAACCCAAAATGGGGCCGGCTGCCAAGTATTCTCAGTCACAGTAGCACAAGTAGAAGTCTCAGACAATACGAATACAAATTTGGGGTCCGCATGGCCGGCATATAGCCAACTCAGCTGATAACGCAGGAATTTGTTTCATCTTCACAGCACATCTGCCTGTGAGCATGCAAAATCAACTCAGAATGGGCTGGCTGCCAAGCATTCTTAGTCACAGCAAGTAGAACAAGTAGAAGGCTCAGACAATACGAATACAAATTTGGGGTCCGCATGGCCGGCATATAGCCAACTCAGCTGATAACGCAGGAAATTGTATGAAATTGTTTCATCTTCACAGCACATCTGCCTCTGAGCATGCAATCTCAACTCAGAATGGGCCGGCTGCCAAGTATTCTCAGTCACAGCAAGTAGCACAAGTAGAAGGCTCAGACAATACGAATACAAATTTGGGGTCCGCATGGCCGGCATATAGCCAACTCAGCTGATAACGCAGGAAATTGTTTCATCTTCACAGCACATCTGCCTGTGAGCATGCAAAATCAACTCAGAATGGGCTGGCTGCCAAGCATTCTTAGTCACAGCAACTAGAACAAGTAGAAGGCTCAGACAATACGAATACAAATTTGGGGTCCGCATGGCCGGCATATAGCCAACTCAGCTGATAACGCAGGAAATTGTATGAAATTGTTTCATCTTCACAGCACATCTGCCTCTGAGCATGCAATCTCAACTCAGAATGGGCCGGCTGCCAAGTATTCTCAGTCACAGCAAGTAGCACAAGTAGAAGGCTCAGACAATACGAATACAAATTTGGGGTCCGCATGGCCGGCATATAGCCAACTCAGCTGATAACGCAGGAAATTGTTTCATCTTCACAGCACATCTGCCTGTGAGCATGCAATCTCAACCCAGAATGGGCCGGCTGCCAAGTATGCCCAGTCACAAAAAGTAGCAGCACAAGCAGAAGGCTCAGACAATACGAATACAAATTTGGGGTCCGCATGGCTGGCATATAGCCAACTCAGCTGATAACGCAGGAAATTGTATGAAATTGTTTCATCTTCACAGCACATCTGCCTGTGAGCATGCAATCTCAACTCAGAATGGGCTGGCTGCCAAATATTCTCAGTCATAGCAAGTAGCACAAGTAGAAGGCTCAGACAATACGAATACAAATTTGAGGTCCGCATGGCCGGCATATAGCCAACTCAGCTGATAACGCAGGAAATTGTATGAAATTGTTTCATCTTCACAGCACATCTGCCTGTGAGCATGCAATCTCAACTCAGAATGGGCCGGCTGCCAAGTATGCCCAGTCACAGCAAGTAGCACAAGTAGAAGGCTCAGACAATACGAATACAAATTTGGGGTCCGCATGGCTGGCATATAGCCAACTCAGCTGATAACGCAGGAATTTGTTTCATCTTCATAGCACATCTGCCTGTGAGCATGCAATCTCAACTCAGAATGGGCAGAATGGGCAAGTAGAAGGCTCAGACAATACGAATACAAATTTGCCAAGTAGCTGATAACGCAGGAAATTGTATGAAATTGTTTCATCTTCACAGCACATCTGCCTGTGAGCAGCAATCTCAACCCAGAATGGGCAGCACACAGCAAGTAGAAAGGAAGGCTCAGACAATACGAATACAAATTTGGGGTCCGCATGGCCGGCATATAGCCAACTCAGCTGATAACGCAGGAAATTGTTTCTGAGCATGCAATCTCAACCCAGAATGGGCCGGCTGCCAAGTATTCCCAATCACAGCAAGTAGCACAAGTAGTGAGCATGCAATCTCAACCCATCTTCACAGCAATGGGCCGGCTGCCAAGTATGCCCAGTCACAAAAAGTAGCAGCACAAGCAGAAGGCTCAGACAATACGAATACAAATTTGGGGTCCGCATGGCTGGCATATAGCCAACTCAGCTGATAACGCAGGAAATTGTATGAAATTGTTTCATCTTCACAGCACATCTGCCTGTGAGCATGCAATCTCAACTCAGAATGGGCTGGCTGCCAAATATTCTCAGTCATAGCAAGTAGCACAAGTAGAAGGCTCAGACAATACGAATACAAATTTGAGGTCCGCATGGCCGGCATATAGCCAACTCAGCTGATAACGCAGGAAATTGTATGAAATTGTTTCATCTTCACAGCACATCTGCCTGTGAGCATGCAATCTCAACCCAGAATGGGCCGGCTGCCAAGTATGCCCAGTCACAAAAAGTAGCAGCACAAGCAGAAGGCTCAGACAATACGAATACAAATTTGGGGTCCGCATGGCCGGCATATGGCCAACTCAGCTGATAACGCAGGAATTTGTTTCATCTTCACAGCACATCTGCCTGTGAGCATGCAATCTCAACTCAGAATGGGCCGGCTGCCAAGTATGCCCAGTCACAGCAAGTAGCACAAGTAGAAGGCTCAGACAATACGAATACAAATTTGGGGTCCGCATGGCCGGCATATAGCCAACTCAGCTGATAACGCAGGAATTTGTTTCATCTTCACAGCACATCTGCCTGTGAGCATGCAATCTCAACTCAGAATGGGCCGGCTGCTAAGTATGCCGAGTCACAGCAAGTAGCACAAGTAGAAGGCTCAGACAATACGAATACAAATTTGAGGTCCGCATCGCCGGCATATAGCCAACTCAGCTGATAACGCAGGAATTTGTTTCATCTTCACAGCACATCTGCCTCTGAGCATGCAATCTCAACTCAGAATGGGCCGGCTGCCAAGTATGCCCAGTCACAGCAAGTAGCACAAGTAGAAGGCTCAGACAATACGAATACAAATTTGGGGTCCGCATGGCCGGCATATAGCCAACTCAGCTGATAACGCAGGAAATTGTTTTTCCCGGTGAGCATGCAATCTCAACCCAAAATGGGCCGGCTGCCAAGTATTCTCAGTCACAGTAGCACAAGTAGAAGTCTCAGACAATACGAATACAAATTTGGGGTCCGCATGGCCGGCATATGGCCAACTCAGCTGATAAAGCAGGAATTTGTTTCTCCCGGTGAGCATGCAATCTCAACTCAGAATGGGCCGGCTGCCAAGTATGCCCAGTCACAGCAAGTAGCACAAGTAGAAGGCTCAGACAATACGAATACAAATTTGGGGTCCGCATGGCCGGCATATAGCCAACTCAGCTGATAACGCAGGAATTGGTTTCATCATGTTTCATCTTCACATCACATCTGCCTGTGAGCATGCAATCTCAACTTAGAATGGGTCGACTGTAATCTTTTCCATGTTTGCTTCAAACCTATTCTGTTTATTATTTAGACACTGGAATGATGAATAACCAGCAGGTTTTAACTGGATCGGTGTTCAATGAAAGCAGTTGCCATCCATCCCTGTTCTCTCAGCTCCGGCGCCTTCCCATAGGGCATTTTAAACACCTCACTGGGGCGACGACCCACGGGGTGATTCGTCGCGACCCACGGGTCATAGATGGCTTCGAAGCTCCGAAAGCCACCATTCAAAAAGAAACAACCAGGTTTTTGATGGTTTTTGCCCATGAAATCCTTCCAGTTCAGGAATCACCCCAGTACAGAAGCAGCAGTCCCCAAATGATTTTTCGAAAGGTGACTTCATCGCCCTACATATATGGGCTCAAAATTTGGGATCCGAAGCCCAAAGATCTAAACCTCTGGTTATTTGTGCCAGTTCGCCATGGAAAGATCCACCCTTTTTAAGTTCGGTAAACCATCTATTTCTATGGGCCATGGCTTCCATGGCGAACTGGCACAAATAACCAGAGGGTATATCTTTTGATCTACACTAAAATTATATGGGATTTACCATGATCATCATGGTAGATGAGCATTTGTCAAAACCATCTTGGGAAAAAGATGTGATGATGGGAGCTGCATTTCCAGCTATTCCACTGGGAGCTCCCACTGCACGGAGTCCCAAAACCTCATCGTGAATGAAGCAAGGAGGAGGCGATCAATCCCATCCCAATTAAGAATGGTTAACAACGGTTGATAGTCGTTGATAGGTTGGTGGCTAATGCTGGTTGATAATGATCAGGATTTTTATGATAATGATGATAATGCCAAAAATGGAAAAGGATCCTATATATATTCATGAGTGAGTAGTAGCTTCTGTAATCATGACTGATAATGGCTACAAAGTGGGGCCCCCATTCGATAGCGTTCAGTTGGCGAACATAACTCCAATGACTATGGTTTATGGTACCTATAACTATAGTTTTCATGGGGTTTTTGTTCACCAACATTCACATCACAACGGGGGGCCCCACATTGGGTTTTCCACCGTCAGGAATGCCATCCCCGAGGGACTTTCCCCATGGTCAGGATCCAAGACCAAACCAGGATCTACCCATGGGCTTTCCAAAATTGGAAGGGATCATATTCCATCCAGTTACAGGGGAAAAACATGGAAAAACCCAGGATCTAGCCAGGAAAAGACAATTTCTACTGTGTCACAAAATCACGAACGAAACCCAGTTTAATCACCACCAACGACACAGGAAATTCGGAGGACATGGATGAAAACAAACATGAAAATGGATGCAAAACAAAGCATGAACATGGATGAGAAAGCTTGAACGCGGATGGGAATGGATAAAAACATCAAAATGAAAAGTCAAAAAGAATGAAAATGGATGACACCGCAACAAAAAGTGTTTCAGTGACAATTACAAAGGTGTGGTGACAAAAAATAGTACCCTCTGGTTATTTAACAGTTCGCCATGGAAGCCATGGCCCATAGAAATAGATGGTTTACCGAACTTAAAAATGGTGATTTTCCATGGCGAACTAGCACACATAATCAGATGCTATTTGGAAATATGGGAACATCAAAAAATAAAAATTCATGGGATCAAATTCATGGGATTACAAGCAACAAATACCAACAATATGATCAAACAAACATGTCTTAGAATTACCCACTTGATGAGCTTCAGAGAACTGGGATCCCCCAACTCGCCCTTGTCACACTGAGCTGCTGCTCTGACCTGAAGTTCTGTGGCAGAAATTCGGAAAAACCATGGGAAGTTGCTGGGATTGTAACAGCACGGGGATGTTTTATGGGATAATGGGGATATAACGGGGGAAAACAAGCATACTGAGGTTATTCATGGCTTAATGCTATGGTTTTTTTTTCAGTAAACCCGTGTTTTTACGATCAAAAATTGGTGCCTTCTTGTACAGTAAATGTTCCCTTCATCCAATTGGTTTGATGTCACTGGCTTGGTTTTGGCCGTGAGAAAGATATGACTTGGGGTTGGGGTCATCTGCATTAAAGCCAGTGGAATGTAGCCCTACCTGTAGGAATTTGGGATGTCTATGCCGCTATGAAGTTGACTTCCGATCCTCACGCACTTTTTCGAGTCATCGAGTTGTCAATTCAAACGGAATTCTAAGACGTGTTTGTTTGATTATCATGTTCCCCATAAATGTGATCCCAATTTCTGGACAAACTTATTGTTGCTTGTATCCCATGTGTGTCAATGATATACCCTGATATATATCCCCATAAATTGGTTGCTTTAATGCCACCATTCTATTTAATACCCCCCAAAAATGTGTTTTACTGATATCAAGTGATATCCCATTAACATGCATTGTATTTGTATAATTGCATATGCATATATATTATAGAGAGAGAGAGAGATAGACACAGGAATATACAGGACTATATCCATGAACTATATCCATGAACCATATCCATGTCTTTTATCCATACGTGTTTCATGAAATATCACGAAACCACAGATTTCAGCTCGAAAGGCCGAAAATTCACATCCTGAGACCGGAACGAAGAGGACGATGAAAAGGCCTGCAGGGGATCTGGGAGACCATCCACTCCAAAGATGAACAAGAATCTGTGATACGCGTATATTTGGATTGAAATATACATGTATGTTTAATCACAAAAGTAATTATGTAGGATTATTTGAATTATTTGAATTCAAGTGAATATGATATGTCTACATTATATATATTATACAATATTATATATATATATAATATTATATATATAATATTATACAACATTCTATATACACAATATGCAGTATATGATTCATGTGTCTTCACCAAGCATGGTCCCGCCCATGGCCCATGGCTGCATCACCTCTCCCGGAAAGTGCCTTTCATGGATTTCATGGCGTTGGCAAACGCTGACGCAAAGTGATGGAATCCGGAAGCGCTGAAATCACTCATCGGTCTACGTATGTTTTCCAATGGTTTAATGGTGAGGTGTTGATGTCATGTTCAAGTTTTAGGGATGTAACTTGATGTAACTATTGAAAACACAAAAAAAATGACTTCCTGATCAAAGAATTTTGGTTGGAATTCCGACTGAGCGAGGGGAGATTCACGGGCATCCCCTAATGGAATTTCAACTGATGGCTCCCTCCCCAATGGAAAGTCCATGATCCAAAGAAGTGCCAAAGATGGTGTGAAGTAGAAAGTACTTGGTGGTTTTGAGCATGTCTTTGATCATATTTGATCTAAGACCAGTTGAACTTTGGCAGTCTTGCCAATCTTGAAAGCCCGATGACAGGGCGGGTCGATTTGATGACTGGGCGGCCCGTTTCTGCTTTGATGACCGTCTGGCAAATGCCATGGCGTGCAAAAGCCCCCGCTCCGTCTGAGCACAATTTGTGACATGAACAGCGAGGAAATTGCAACTTTGGAGTGAGACTGAATTCTCTCAATCCCATAATAATATTGTATAGTTTTCCCATAATAATATTACGGCCAGGCGCTGTGTGTTGCCCGGAAGGTTCAAATGGCGTTTAAAGATATTTAAACATTATCCTTCAACATGCTCAAACACCTGCGCAGGGCCAGTGTTTTGAGATTTCCCAGATGACGAACCCTAAACCCTAAAACCCTAAACCATCCTAAACCCTAAAACCCCAAACCCTAAAACCCCAAACCCTAAAACCCTAAAACCTAGGCTCTGAAAACTTTGAATCCTAAACTGGAAAACAATGCGTATACGCAGTATTTTCTGCAATCTCTCATATCATATATTCGACAGCACGACATTCTCAATGTTGTCTGGGCAACACACAGCGTCTGGTAATATTCTAAGCATTCATAAACCCACTCCAAAACATTCACCGGCCTTGGGAAACTGAGTCTGGACCCAGGGTTCCCCTGGGTACCCTGGGTCCAGGTGATGTCTGGGTAAATTATCATATGTCACTAACCTGAATCTTGCAGTTGGGGATGATTTCCCTAACGTAAACCATGATTTACCCAGATTATTATATATATTATTATAACCATTGTTAACTGGTTGGTGGTTTCCACCATCTTGAAAAATATGAAAGTCAGTTCGGGTTATTATTCCCAGATATATGGAAAAATAAAATTCATGTTCCAAACCACCAACCAGATTATTAACCATTATTAACCAAACAACAAGATGTTCCACATCAAGGGAGATCTGCTGGAGGGTGACCTCTCCCGTAGGCCGACCATTGCTGCAGTTCACAAAGGTCACCTTCGCCGAAAAAGGGCGCCGTCGCTGTTGGGGATTACCCGTCGCAGTGCTACAAAAAGCTACGCGGAAATCTGGTGAAAAATCTACTGATCTGGTGTATGATCTAGATTTGGTGAAACATATGATTCTACTTTCTAGATTTGGGTTTCCGGTCATGATCTACTGATCTTTCATGGTGGTTCGCTATGTGATTTTTGCTGTCATTCCATTGGACTGGTTGCTTAAGAGGATCTCAAGTGGATCTGCCAAGGGTTTAGCAGCCACTGTTTTTTTTTGCCATTTCAATGCGAACATATGGGATAAGAACGAGAAATTATTGGGACAGAATATGAAATTAAGGATGTGGCTGTGGGACGTTTTTGTAGATTTCAATCAGAAATTTTCATGACAATTGCTTGATTGGTAAAACAATGGTAAAACATGCCACAAGAAAAATCAAACCATCGAAAAATCTGGGCGCCATTGAACATCTCAGGAAGATGTACAGATCAAACAGCAGGTGCCCACAAATCCATTGCTGGAGCAGCAAGCAAAAACAACAGCAGGATATGGATATGACGGATATAAATAATATACATGCACAAATGATATCCATAATTTATCTATTTATGTCTCCATAATAATCCATAATATACATCCACAAGACATCGCGGAGATGTATATTATGGATTATTATGATTGGCACACTATTCATGGATACAAATGGGATATATACGATGTAAGCAACACACAATCTGGGGGGTTGTCCGAAAAATTGGAGTTCAGTTTTCCCATCATTTCTGGCAGTTGGGCCATCCCTGCCAAGAAATTCACCTCCCGGAGAGCAATCGGAAGGAAAAACGCCTTCACATCCTGCCGTCAGTTGGAATCGACAATGGCATTTCACGCCCCAAAACACAAAAGAGGAGTTGTGCCACAAAACCAGGAAACACCACAGTGGTTTTTCATGTGTTTTTCTGTTTGAGGAGCATTTTTTGGTGTCCTGTTTCCTTTCCCTTCCCATCCACCAGGTCAAATGTGTGGCTCATTCTGTAGCCCCAAAAAGATACAAAAGTAAGAAAGCTGGAAATGGGTGTGTCTGAAAATAGTGTACCCCTAAACCCAATGGTTAATGATCATTATCCCTATTAAATGGCTATTTCATTGGGAATATACCCTATTTTCAGACAAACCCAAATATGAAGTAGATGTAATCCGTCAAAGCCTGGAAACACCAGAGAAATATCGGCCATCTTTTTGGGGGTTGCCACCAGAAATCCACCGAGGGTTAAGCCCTCGACCCTGCATAGCATACACTTGACTTGATCGATCTTGATGTCCAAAAAGATTGAAAGATGAAAAAAACATGAAAAAGTTAGTGACCACCCAGTATTTTAATATATTTTAATGCCTGAAGTGTGAACCAAAAAACCATATAATTTCATATAATTTCAGGGTTGTTATACACGAAAATCTACCTGGAATTCTATAATAACCTAATAACCTACCTGAAGTAGGAATTGATTTTTCTATCTTTCTGCAAAAAAAAAAATATAAAAAATCCCTTCGCCATTCCCCCAGTCCGCGACGTCTCCTTCTCGTCCACTCCCCATGGTAAGCCCCGCAAAAAGAGGATTTTCGACCTGGCTGCCAATTTCACCATACTTATAGGGAGTAGATGATTGGATTATGTTTCCCAACTTCTGGCTTTTTCAAATTCCATGGTTATATCTATACAATTTATAATATTATATGTATATATATAATATACATCATTCTAGCCATGAAGCCATCACCTCTGGCACCCCTCAAGCTGGCTTATGAAGTTTTGGTCGCGGAGCCCCTTTGCTCGCACCTTGCAAGCAGCTCAGTCTGGCCTGGTGTCGTCTCGAAATCGCGAAACTCAAAAACGAAATGTGGGTGTGTCTGAAAATGGGGTGTGCCAATCACCCAGTCAATCCCAATCTCATTCTTCCCTTAAACCCATACAAATCCCTCATGGTTGAAGCTTCCTTGTCAAAATTTGCACCGTAGTCCCAACTAGTCACTGGCGTCGACCTTCCGAGTCTGCATTTGCCATGGGAAGGCGGCCCTTTGTCCCATCAGTGCAGCGTGAAATTTGCAACTAGTAGTCAGAGTTGGGTACTTGGATGTTCAGGCTCAATAACCATGTTCATTAACCCAAGTGTATCCAATTGTGAATGTCAACCGCAGTTTTTTTGACACCAACATGTTTTTACTGGCCCATCGACTTGTGAGTGAACACCACCATGGCAAATGCTACCGTAGCCCTAATCGAAGGTGTTGCCCCGCTTCGCTGTAGGTTGATAACTCTTGCTGGATATATCCAGCTAGTTCATGGGGGTTCAAAACCACCCTTTTTACTGGATGGCCACCACCTTTTAGGTATTTACCCATCCCCAAATTGAGGAATGCAAGAAATGTCTGATAAAAGTTGACTTTTTCGTGACCACGTCTGTGGCCTTTTATCGTGCAGGATGCGTCTGAATCTGTTTTGCACGCTCTTTCTTGTTTGTCTATTCTTGCATGTATTTTTCGCCTTGAACCATTCCGTGTAGCAATAGGCATTGTTGGTCCAATAGGTACATGGCACATCATGGCACTCACTGGAACGCAAGGAACGCAATCACTACCGTTACGCTGCATGGTGTTCAACACGCAGTGATCCATTTGTTTGGGCAGCTCCACTGGCTTTTTTTCGTCGTCTTTGATGTGTTTTTTTCGTCTAACGATTGCACTGACGAAACCTGTGAACCACCAGCAGTTTCAACAAAAGCACAGGACCTCAATCCACATAGAGCTCCACCTTGAGGCGTGCCAAGTCCCGCCGCGTGGCGTCTGTCAGGCGGTTTCCACGTAAGTCCAAGGTGGTGAGGCTCTCCAGGTCAAACTGCGTAGCATTGAGCGTTCTCAGCTTGTTGTGACTCAAGTCGATCACTGACAAGTTCAGTCCATCGAAAAGACTGGGAGGCAGTTCTTCAAGTGCATTTTGACTCAAGTTCAGAAAATTCAAGGAGCTCAAATTCCTCGGCAGGGATAAATGCTGTTCAGCAACCCCAAACGGTTTCCATTTCCACATGGCAACCGTAACAACCCGTGCAATTGGAAAGCCTTCACCACAAAACCTCCCACAGCTAGATCTTTGGAGGCCAGTTCACACTTTCTCTCAGCACTTGCACAAAGCACCTTGAACTGGGCTGTGAATAGCTCGCAAAATTGCAAGTCTTTGAGGAAAGGACTATGCATAAACATGAATAAACCCACCAAAATCTCCAACAGCACAGCAGGTCAGGGTGTTTGAGAAACCGGAACTGTGCAATCCCTGGCGAACCTTGGGAATCCACAGCAGATTACAAGCCGTCATAGATGTCATAGGCATTCACAGGCTATAAAGTGTAAAATGGTCACCAGTTTTGTTTCTTTAAAGGAAAAACAATGGTGACTGCTATGGAAGTTGAGGTTGTGATTGATCCCTTCCAAAGAATAGTCTTCCATCACATACTGGGGAATTCTATAACCCCATAAACTTTGCCGGGAAACTGAAACAGCTGCTTCGGAAGTCTCGCCAGCTGATTGCTCTGCAGCTGCAGTGTTCGAAGGGACCTGAAACCCTTGAAGAGGCCATCGTGCAGAGCAGTGAGCCGGTTGCCTCCCAGGTTCAGCTCCAACAAGCTTCGCTTGAGGGAAGAACGTCGTACGCGTCGGAGTGAAGAACGGCGTCGGCGTGAAGAACGGCGTCGGTGTGAAGAACGGCGTCGGTGTGAACTGCATTGGTGTGAGTCATCATAATCATATCTATCATATCCATCAAAGACATCTTCATCCAGATCCGTCAGCTGATTCTGTGCCAGGTGCAGCTCTTCCAAGCGGTACAACCAGTAGAAGGGTCTGGTGGCAAGACTCCGGAGCCGGTTGCCTTCCAGCCTCAGGCTGCGAAGAGACGAGAGACCATAAAAGACATCTGACGAAAGCGTCACCAACTCGTTGTGGCTCAAGTTCAGGAACTCCAAGGAGCTCAAAGTCCTCGCCGGACGCAGTTTCCAAACAGTTTGGAAAACCTTCCACTGACTTCCCGCAACTAGTTCTTCGGAGGCCCATGGATATGTTTTCTCAGTCACCTGCAAGAAGGGCCTTCAGCTATTGAGATGTGAATAGTTCTCAAGATTGCAAATCTTTGAGGACTATCTGTATGCCCGCACAGAAATAGGTTACAAGCTGCTCTAGATGTTCGGACCTTTTGCAAACGACCCAGCAATTTTGTCATGGGCCATGAAAGTGTGAAATGGTCACCAGTTCTGGCTTGTTAAAGGGGAAAAAATCTAATTTACATGGAAGATGACATACATACTCTTTGAAATGCCGTGAACGCCCAATGAACTTCGCCGAGAGTCTGAAACAGCTGTTGTGGAAGTCTCACCAGCTGATTGCTCTGCAGCTGCAGCTTTCGAAGATTTGTGAAACCGTTGAAGAGGCCACCGGGCAACGTTGTGAGCCGGTTGCCACCCAGCTTGAGATCCAACAAGCTCCGCTTGAGAAAGTCATCACCAAAAACATCTTCATCCAGATCTGTCAGCTGATTCTGCTGCAAGTTCAGCTCTTCCAAGTAGTCCAACCCGTAGAAGGGTCTGTCGCCAAGGCTCCGGAGCTGGTTGCCTTCCAGTCTCAGGCTGCGAAGATAGCCTAACATCGTGAAACGAAATTTGTAAAAGACCTTTGGGGGCAATTCTTGCAACTTGTTCTGCGACATGTCCAGGATGCATCTGGAACAGTACCGACCAAAGGTGAGACCTTGAAAGGTTCCTGCATGTAGTTGGATAAGATTAATGTTTTGTAGGTTCAGTCGGTCGAGCTCAAGACTGTCAAAGACCTTTGGAGGCAAGTCCTGCAACTTGTTCTGCGACATGTCCAGGATGCCACTCTGACCAAATTTGAGACCCTGAAAGGCTTCTGCATGCAACACCTGCAACTGGTTCTGCGACATGTCCAGGATGCATCTGGAACAGTACCGACCAAAGGTGAGACCTTGAAAGGTTCCTGCATGTAGTTGGATAAGATTGTTGTTTTGTAGGTACAGTCAGTCGAGCTCAAGACTGTCAAAGACCTTTGGAGGCAAGTCCTGCAACTTGTTCTGCGACATGTCCAGGATGCCATTCTGACCAAATTTGAGACCCTGAAAGGCTTCTGCATGCAACACCTGCAACTGGTTCTGCGACATGTCCAGGATGCATCTGGAACAGTACCGACCAAAGGTGAGACCTTGAAAGGTTCCTGCATGTAGTTGGATAAGATTGTTGTTTTGTAGGTTCAGTCGGTCGAGCTCAAGACTGTCAAAGACCTTTGGAGGCAAGTCCTGCAACTTGTTCTGCGACATGTCCAGGATGCCATTCTGACCAAATTTGAGACCTGAAAGTCTTCTGCATGCAACACCTGCAACTGGTTCTGCGACATGTCCAGGATGCATCTGGAACAGTACCGACCAAAGGTGAGACCTTGAAAGGTTCCTGCATGTAGTTGGATAAGCTTGTTGTTTTGTAGGTACAGTCGGTCGAGCTCAAGACTGTCAAAGACCTTTGGAGGCAGTGCCTGCAACTTGTTGTGCGAGACGTCCAAGCTGGTGAGGTTTTCCAGGTCGAACAGCTTGGAATCCCATTTTCTGAGACTGTTGTGGCTCAAGTCGATCACTGACAAGTTCAATCTATCAAAAAGACCAGGAGGCAATTCTTCCAATGCATTCTGACTCAGGTTCAGCAACTTCAAGGAGCTCAAATTCCTTAGGCTGTGGATGCAGGTTGGCAACCCTATAAACGGTTTCGGTTCTCACATGGCACCCTTGCCAACCATCAGGCAATGGGAAGGAGCTCACCACAAACCAGGGAACCTCTGATTTTCAAAAGGGCCTTGTGAACTATTCAGGTGGGAATAGCTCACAAAGATGCACTGAGAAAGAAACTATGAATAACTCGATCTCCCCGACAGCACGTCATGTTCTCAGATTCTCAGCATGTGAAAGCTGTGACTAGTTCCAGTATGTTCCAGTGCTCGCACAGAACTCTTCAGGTGCTTTCGAAATCTTGCGCTTGGGAACCTTGTGCTTGAGAAACCCGCTGTACTTAGGAACTGCGCATTCAATCCCTCGGAACCGGGGGGAACCCAAGGTAGAACCCGATTACAAGCTGCTCCAGATCTTTGGAACCTTTCCAGAAGCAACAAAAAAAACGACGTAGACTATGGAACTGTGAAATGGTCAAAAATGAGGTCCACATTCATCCTTTTTTCAGATAAATAAGTCTTTAAGTCTTTTATATATATATATATACGGATCATATTGAACCATACTATCATACTCTTTAGAAATTCAAGAAACGCCCAATGAGCTTCGCCCAGAGTCTGAAACAGCTGTTGTGGAAGTCTCACCAGCTGATTGCTCTGCAGCTGCAGATTTCGGAGTTTCCTTAAACCGTTGAAGAGGCCATTGGGTAACGTGGTGATCCGGTTGCCACCCAGGTTCAGCTTCAACAAGCTCCGCTTGAGGTTATGATCATCAAACACATCTGCATCAAGATTGGCCAGCTGATTCTGCTGCAGGTTCAACTCTTCCAAACAACTCAACCCCCGGAAGTCTCCGGAGTGAAGTCTCTGGAGCCTGTTGCCTTCCAACTTCAGGCTGCGAATCGAGAGATTGCAACAAAAAAACAATGCCGGAAGCGTTGATAGCTCGTTCTCTGCGAGGTCGAGGATCTCCAATTTGCTCAAGCCACTCTGAAAGACCTTTGGAGGCAATGCCGGCAATGCCTGCAACTTGTTGTGCGAGACGTCCAAGCTGGTGAGGTTTTCCAGGTCGAACAGCTTGGAATCCCATTTTCTGAGACTGTTGTGGCTCAAGTCGATCACTGACAAGTTCAATCTATCAAAAAGACCAGGAGGCAATTCTTCCAATGCATTCTGACTCAGGTTCAGCAACTTCAAGGAGCTCAAATTCCTTAGGCTGTGGATGCAGGTTGGCAACCCTATAAACGGTTTCGGTTCTCACATGGCACCCTTGCCAACCATCAGGCAATGGGAAGGAGCTCACCACAAACCAGGGAACCTCTGATTTTCAAAAGGGCCTTGTGAACTATTCAGGTGGGAATAGCTCACAAAGATGCACTGAGAAAGAAACTGTGAATAACTCGATCTCCCCGACAGCACGTCATGTTCTCAGATTCTCAGCATGTGAAAGCTGTGACTAGTTCCAGTATGTTCCAGTGCTCGCACAGAACTCTTCAGGTGCTTTCGAAATCTTGCGCTTGGGAACCTTGTGCTTGAGAAACCCGCTGTACTTAGGAACTGCGCATTCAATCCCTCGGAACCGGGGGGAACCCAAGGTAGAACCCGATTACAAGCTGCTCCAGATCTTCGGAACCTTTCCAGAAGCAACAAAAAAACGACGTAGACTATGGAACTGTGAAATGGTCAAAAATGAGGTCCACATTCATCCTTTTTTCAGATAAATAAGTCTTTAAGTCTTTTATATAATATATATATATGTGGATATATATGGATCATATTGAACCATACTATCATACTCTTTAGAAATTCAAGAAACGCCCAATGAGCTTCGCCCAGAGTCTGAAACAGCTGTTGTGGAAGTCTCACCAGCTGATTGCTCTGCAGCTGCAGATTTCGGAGTTTCCTGAAACCGTTGAAGAGGCCATTGGGTAACGTGGTGATCCGGTTGCCACCCAGGTTCAGCTTCAACAAGCTCCGCTTGAGGTTATGATCATCAAACACATCTGCATCAAGATTGGCCAGCTGATTCTGCTGCAGGTTCAACTCTTCCAAACAACTCAACCCCCGGAAGTCTCCGGAGTGAAGTCTCTGGAGCCTGTTGCCTTCCAACTTCAGGCTGCGAATCGAGAGATTGCAACAAAAAAACAATGCCGGAAGCGTTGATAGCTCGTTCTCTGCGAGGTCGAGGATCTCCAATTTGCTCAAGCCACTCTGAAAGACCTTTGGAGGCAATGCCGGCAATGCCTGCAACTTGTTGTGCGAGACGTCCAAGCTGGTGAGGTTTTCCAGGTCGAACAGCTTGGAATCCCATTTTCTGAGACTGTTGTGGCTCAAGTCGATCACTGACAAGTTCAATCTATCAAAAAGACCAGGAGGCAATTCTTCCAATGCATTCTGACTCAGGTTCAGCAACTTCAAGGAGCTCAAATTCCTTAGGCTGTGGATGCAGGTTGGCAACCCTATAAACGGTTTCGGTTCTCACATGGCACCCTTGCCAACCATCAGGCAATGGGAAGGAGCTCACCACAAACCAGGGAACCTCTGATTTTCAAAAGGGCCTTGTGAACTATTCAGGTGGGAATAGCTCACAAAGATGCTTCTCAGCACATCAAAGCTGTGACTAGTCTCAGAGTAACTCGCAAAGAACTATTCAGGTGCTATCAAAATCTTGAGATGTCCAACCTTGTGTTTGAGAAACCCCCGTACTCTGCACAATCCCTCGAAAATCTGTGGAACCCAAGATCGAATCCAATTACAAGCTGATCGAGATTGTTGGAACTTTTCCAGAAGTCTCCAATTTTTGCACCGCAGGCTATGGAAGTGTGAAATGGTCTCTAGGAAATTCAAGAAACGCAACAAAAAAAACGACGTAGACTATGGAACTGTGAAATGGTCAAAAATGAGGTCCACATTCATCCTTTTTTCAGATAAATAAGTCTTTAAGTCTTTTATATATATATATATATTATATATATATATATTATATATATATATTATATATATACATATATTATATATATATTATATATATATATATGTTTTTATATATATATATATATTATATATACGGATCATATTGAACCATACTATCATACTCTTTAGAAATTCAAGAAACGCCCAATGAGCTTCGCCCAGAGTCTGAAACAGCTGTTGTGGAAGTCTCACCAGCTGATTGCTCTGCAGCTGCAGATTTCGGAGTTTCCTGAAACAGTTGAAGAGACCATCGGGTAACGTTGTGAGCCGGTTGCCACCCAGGTTCAGCTTCAACAAGCTCCACTTGAGGGAACGATCATTCCAGTCATCATCATCATCAAACACATCTTCATCCAGATCTGTCAGCTGATTCTGCTGCAGGTTCAACTCTTCCAAACAACGCAACCCCTGGAAGTCTCCGGAGTGAAGTCTCTGGAGCTAATTCTGCTGCAGGTGCAGCTCTTCCAACCGATGCAAGCGAAAGAGAGAAATGCCCAGACGGAGGAGCCAAGGATCACCAAGCCTGCGGAGCCGGTTGCCTTCCAGCCTCAGGCTGCGAAGATCCGAGAGATCCGAGTAACCAGTAAAGACATCGTCCGAAAGCGTCGACAGCTCGTTGTCTGCCAGGTCCAGGATCTGCAAATGCCGCATGCCGTCATGGGAGAAGACCTTTCGAGGCAATTCCAGCAACTTGTTCTGCGACATGTCCAGGATGCCGTTCTGACCAAAGGTGAGACCATGAAAGGTTTCTGCGTGTAGTTGGATAAGATTGTTGTTTTGGAGGTACAGTCGGTCGAGCTCAAGGCTGTCAAAGACCTTTGGAGGCAAGTCCTGCAACTTGTTCTGCGACATGTCCAGGATGCCGTTCTGACCAAAGGTGAGATTTTGAAAAGTTTCTGCATGTAGTTGGATAAGATTGTTGTTTTGGAGGTACAGTCGGTCGAGCTCAAGGCTGTCAAAGACCTTTGGAGGCAAGTCCTGCAACTTGTTCTGCGACATGTCCAGGATGCCGTTCTGACCAAAGGTGAGATTTTGAAAAGTTTCTGCATGTAGTTGGATAAGATTGTTGTTTTGGAGGTACAGTCGGTCGAGCTCAAGGCTGTCAAAGACCTTTGGAGGCAAGTCCCGCAACTTGTTCTGCGACATGTCCAGGATGCCGTTCTGACCAAAGGTGAGATTTTGAAAGTTTCTGCATGTAGTTGGATAAGATTGTTGTTTTGGAGGTACAGTCGGTCGAGCTCAAGACTGTCAAAGACCTTTCGAGGCAATTCCTGCAACTTGTTCTGCGACATGTCCAGGATGCCGTTCTGACCAAAGGTGAGACCATGAAAGGTTTCTGCATGTAGTTGGATAAGATTGTTGTTTTGGAGGTACAGTCGGTCGAGCTCAAGGCTGTCAAAGACCTTTCGAGGCAAGTCCTGCAACTTGTTCTGCGACATGTCCAGGATGCCGTTCTGACCAAAGGTGAGACCATGAAAGGTTTCTGCATGTAGTTGGATAAGATTGTTGTTTTGGAGGTACAGTCGGTCGAGCTCAAGACTGTCAAAGACCTTTCGAGGCAATTCCTGCAACTTGTTCTGCGACATGTCCAGGATGCCGTTCTGACCAAAGGTGAGACCATGAAAGGTTTCTGCATGTAGTTGGATAAGATTGTTGTTTTGGAGGTACAGTCGGTCGAGCTCAAGGCTGTCAAAGACCTTTGGAGGCAATCCTGCAACT